TTAAAATAATTTTATATTATTTTTTAAATAATTTTATGTTCAAAATTATTTTTGTTCACAATATAAATAATTTTTGTAATTGGGATTTTTGTAAGTAAATATTATTTTATGGATTCAGGATATCCATAAATGGTTGGTTTTTAGGACCATATAAAGGAGAATGCTATCATTAGCTAATTTTTAAGGTAATTGTTGTATATCAGGAAAAAAAAAGAAAGAAATCTTTAATCATGCACATTCTTCATTGCGTTTTATGATTGAACGAACATTAAGAGTATGAAAGAAAAAATGGCCAATTTTGCGAGCTATTCCAAGTCATTCATTTGAAAAGCAAGTTCTAATCATAAATGCAACAATGGCTTTGAATAATTACATTCGAAGACATGCTAGATCGAATGATGAAGATTTTAAAGAATTTGAGAATATACCTAATATGCCAACTTTTGCAAGCAATTTTGATAAAGGTGAATCAAGTTTTGTTAATTGTAGAGAAAGTGATTATGAAATAACAAAGTTAAGAGAAACAATAGTTGCTACTCTATTAGGTTCGTCTTCCCATGCGCCTTAGTCTATTACATAATTCTAATAAAACTTTGTATGTTTTATAAAGTTAATTTATTTTATTGTATTAGAAAAATTATTCAAGTAAAACCCTAAAAATATTTTAATGGTTGTACTTTTATAGTAATCTTAGTTGTATTCCGTGACTTGTTATAACTACATAAATATTCAAGGTAAATTTTCACTTATACATAGAAAAAGGAAATAGATTTTTTGTAATTTTTTATATATTTTAGTCTTTTATAAATTTGAAAATGAGCCATCATTATGTTGTAAAGTCCATTGTTTTATAAATTGAAATTTTTAAATGATGATGTCTAAATTTTTTTCTTCATTTTAGTATTTTACTTCAAATTTTAATAAATAAGTATGTTAATGTAATCAAATTTGTTAATTGTGATAATGCATTTGAGAAATAAAATAATTATTATAAATATAATATTGAAAATGTATGAAAATAAATTATTATAAATACATCAACTCAGTGCAAATTTCAATAATAATTTCAATATTTTTTAACCTTAATATACTATTTTAATCTCACAAAAATTTTGCTATTTATTAAATAAAATTTTTAGATTTTAAATGTTAAGTAACATTAACATATATACATAAAAATAATTCTCAATATTTAATAATAAAAATATTATTTGATATAAAAATAGCTTCATTAATTTTCAACTTATTAACAAAAATATTATTTGATATTAAATAATTTAAAATTTAAAATTATTTATTAATTTAAAATTATTATAAATATTATAAATTTATTATATAAAAATTTTAATCTAAAGTCTTAATAGTTATTTTTTTTATTTTCACAACATTTTATCTGACCATTATTGTTATTTTTATTTTTAAATATATATTATTAATTATTTTAATTTTATCACTATAATATCTAATTTTATTATTATGATAATTAACTTCATTATTATTATAATTTTTAATTTTATTAAAATTAATCTCATCATTTATCTAAATAAACTCTTAATCTCATAATCTTATACGTGAAAAAAAAAAATTCCAGGCAACAAGAGAAAGAGAAATATAAAGAACGTTGAGACTTCAAAGGGCGTGAAAATTGAAATGACAGTACGTCCACTCGCACCTGCCACGTGCCTTTTTTTATATATATTTTCAGTTTTGTATGTTAAAATGTAATATTTGCTTTAATCGATGAATATTCTTACCATGTATATTAAAATACTTTGATTGTAACCTATATAATAGTAAATTTATTTTTTTATAAAATTTAAGTTTTATAACTTTTAATGATCAAAAGCAAAAAAATCATAAAAATAATTTTAAAATATAAAAAATAAAACATTTAAGTGTTCAATAAAAAAATTGAACTAAAAAAAATACAATCTTTCTTTTAATTTTGTGAATTGTTAAAGGGTAAAATAAAAATATAAAAAATTTTATTAAATATTTATTATTAAAATTAACATTTTAAAAAAAAAATTCTAAGTTATAATTTGCTTTAAAAGCTTAAATTTACTTCCCATAAAAATTAAAATTTTTAAAATTACAAGAGTAACATGCTGAAATTTTTTTATAGTAAATAAACTCCTATATAAATTAATTCAAATAAAAATTTATATTTAATATATTATTATTATATAAATTTTATAAATTATCAATAAATCTGATAATAATATTTTATTAATGAATAAATATAAAATCTTAAAATAAATATATAAAATTAAAATTTTTAAAAAATTTTATTTATTAATAAAGCATTATCATATGATTTATCTCATTAATAAATTTTTATTATTTGATTTATTGATAATATATAAAATTTATACACTAATTATATCAAATATTAACTCTTCAAATAATCACTAAATATATCAAAATTTATTATATTTAAAATAAAATTTAAAGTAAAAATATGATATAAATATTTCGCATGTAAACAAAATTCTCCTAAATTCCTTTTTCATTCTCCTATCAAACAAAATCTGCCACTTGAAACTCCTTAATTGAGGCAAGAACTATGGACAAAGCACAACTATCTTTTGAAGCCTAAAATGCATTCACATGACCATTGACGGACTTTTGTATTTTCAAAAAAAATAAAACTCTGTTCCAAGAAAAGAGAACGGTAATGCATGTCTTTGAAAATTCAAAGGCTGAGTAACTTGCCATCCAACCAGAGAAATGCTTTTTCAGAGACTGAGAAATGCTTATCAGTGAAAGCTTTGACATGTTTTTTACGTGAAAAACAGATATTAGAAAAGATTAATTTTTCTGCCTTGACTTGACAGCTCAATCCGTAAATCCAGTTGTCTTCTTGCAAAAGATCTCATTGGATGATGGAGCTTACGAATGAGCCCAGCCTTGACCGCTGAACCAGTAAAATCATGAGATGTTTATCAAAATTATGAATCTCCCCTAAAGATATCAAACAACATGACTGATAACTTAGGGGTGATATGCTTTTGTTTCCTTTTTTATTTTTCGTTTTTAATTTTTTTAAAATTAAAAATAAAAATATATTTGATAGGTTACTTTTGTTTTTTATTTTTGAAAACTAAAAATAAAATTTTGAAAAATTTTAAAAATTATTGAAAATAAAAAAATAATGTTTTTAGTTTTTTTAAAATAATTTAATCCTATTACCATACAGACAATTCACAAAAATTATAATTAAACTATTACAATGACATTATAATTATTATATTAATAAAATAATATTTTTATTATATAAATATTATATTAATAAATAATTTACCAAAAAATATTATTATATTATTAATAACAAAAGGGAGTCTAAAAACTTGAACCACTTTCTCTTAATATTATTTTTTTCATATTTTTAAAACCAAAACATTATATTCAATCATTTTTCAAACCCAATAAAAATTAAAAAATAAAACAAAACAAAATTTTCAAAAACATAAAACATACAGTAATACCAAACGACCATTGGCACATGTTGTCCAATAATTTTTATAAATAATACTTAAGAGGTTATATTAAATAGATATAAAATTAAAATTTTAATATTACTGATAATTTAGCATTTGTTACTCAATAATTTTTATAAATAATATTTAAGAGATGATACTAAATAAATACAAAATTAAACTTTTAATATTTTTATAATTTTAAATTATGATTTTGTATAAAAAAAATTAATATAATTGAAAAAAAGTGAGAAAATAAATTTAAATTTAAGTTGCTATATAAATTATAAGAATAAGATATAATTTTTAATGGATAATTATATGGTGTATAGATAGAATATTAAATTTTTAATTTTGCTGATTTAAGATCTAACATACATGTATATTTGAGAGAATATAGACTGATGAATTTCATTTTCACTATTATATTAGATTTTGGAAAAGATTTAGATAAAATTTATGAAGTTTTATATAAAAATAATTAAACAAAAATTAAAATAGAATTTTAAAATCGATAAATTAAAAAAATTTACTATATAAATCAAATGTACAAAATTTGAAAAAAATTTAATATATTTTTAAATAGATATTTTTAATAAAAAATTTTGACAATTTTTATCATTGAATACATACCAATCAAATTTAAATTATAAATAACATTTTTAACAATTATTTTTACATATTATTGATTTTTATATTAAATTTTATTAATTTATTAATTTAAATTTTTTATTAAATCATTTAAAAAAAATCTTCCCTAACAAATTTAATTAAGGAACCAATAAATTTATAAATTTGAAAATAATTATTAAAGTTATTTTTTCTTTTTGATAATTTAGCGAGGGATACCTTCATGCTTTTCATGCTTTGTAAGAACTAGAAGGGTAAATGAGTTATATAAACCTACTCAAATTTGCCTTTGGAGTTATTCAAAACTACTTGGTTAGCATCGAGTAAAGCTCAAGCTCAAACATCTAAAATTAAAGTATTTTAATATCTTACTTAAGTAACACATGAAACGTATTTGAATTTATTTTTAATTTAAGATCCATTCGAATAAACAATGAAAATGAAAACAATGATAGAAATAAAATTAATTACTATAATAATAAAATTAAATACTATAACGATAAAATTAAAATCAGTGATAAGATAAATATTTACATAACTAAACAACAGTGGTGATAAGATGAAAATAAAATATTACTGTTAAGAACTTTACTTTAAAAGTTTATTGATAAATTATTTTTATATATTTTTAATATTATATATAATATTAAAAAATCTTAAAATTTTAATTCAATCAAAACAAGAATGCATATTATTTATTATATAATAATAAATTTTATTTATCATATAATAATAAATTTTATTTATATTAATTAATAAAATTATTTTAAAATTTATAAATTAAAAAAACCAATATAAAAAAATAAGGATCAAATGGCATGAAAATCCTTACAACATTAAGGGCAAAAAAGAAAAGAAAAAAAAAAAAAAAAAAAAAACAATGGACAAAATAGGAATAAAAGCCATAGTTGTATCTCAACTGAAGCCTCAGTGAATGAACGGAGGCTCTTACCTCCAGTGAAGCTCCATTGAACGAACGAACGCCATCGCATCTCACTGGTGTTATCCAAACACCTGAACAGTCTGATTTACACCAGAAAGGGACCAATCGCGCTAAAATGGAAGCATGATGACTTCCAAATGAGCCCTTAGTCAGTATCAAGTTGAGCTCAAGTTTAAATAATTCAAATTATCAAATATCTTAATATTCAATCCAAGTAACTCTTAAGCATATTCAAGTTTTTTTAATTATTTTTATTAATATATATTAATATTATATAAAAATAACAGTTAATTATTTATTTACAATTTTATTGTTACTATATTCATGAGAAGACATCTTAATTTTCTCTCAATTCAAACTCTAAACTCAAATAAAAATTATCAAGCTTTAGGCCGAACATGATAAACAAACTTATAAATTTTTATTAGATTACAAGTCTAATCAAGTAAGTTTAAATAATTCAGTTTCAATCCAAGTTGATTTTGAAATCCAACTTTTTAATTTTGAAATACAAATATGTTCTTTTTTTTAAATTTAAATTACCAAATGCAACCTAAGAATATTTTGTTCCAAAAGGGCTTGGGGAAAAACTTTCAGGATTAATGTTAATCAGTGTCCATTAATGTTCCTATCCTACATGAAATTCAGCCAACAAGCATTTTTCACATTTAACCATGTAAATTCTAATAAACAGACAAGAAGAGACAACTTTCTTAAATCATTAAATAGAAGTTTCAACGAATAGAATAACATTTTTGTGTTTTGTGCAAGGATCAAAGGCAAACAAAAGATGGAACAACTCTCTTTTCTTATGAAGTTACTAAATTATATTTATTTTTTCATCAAGATAATTTGTTATAAAATGTTAGAACATTCAAATTGATATTGCTAGAATTAAAAAAATTAGAGGGTAGTGTCCTAACTATTCAAGTTTTATAAAAGGAGTGTTCAACCAAAACAATATATTGCAAACAATAACCATTTGTACTCAATTGGGATTCAGTTGTGTAATTACAAAAACATATGGGGATGGCATGCTGCAGGTGTTCTAGCATGTAACATTTTAACGTACACTCGAGGTAAACAAATGTACTTAACATTCAATGTTGGATCTTCACTTAAAATATTTACAAGGCCAAATGATTTCAACTCACAACTAAGAAAAAGATGCATTATCACATGTTTTTCTACCAAATTTGAATAAAATGTTCATCTAATTACAAACGTAAAAAAAAAAAAAAAAAAAAGACAACCTGGCATTGGTAATGGAAGATAGTGAACCACCTTAGTCATCATAGGAAGCATGAGGAGCAGCAGTACATCCAGGATCAAATGGATCTTCAGAGCCACAGCAATGCCAATACTGAAAGACTTTGCCTGAGTCAGGAGTATCCATGGTGCCCCCAGTGTACACACTCTCAAATTTCCTCTTTGTTTCCCCTGATAAAATGTAGTTAGAGGTAAGGAACAAACTGCAGTTGCTTCTAGCATAACAGAATATTCTGATAATGTGACCTCAAGATATGGAGAAACTTAAATTTAAAAAAGAAAAGAACAAATTTTCAAAGTGATCTATAAAGCAAATTGAAAGCAAAAACAGTTGCAAATACTTCAAACATGCTCAAATTCCATCTCTTTAACAGTAAAAATTTTCAAATTTTCTAAGAACAGGTCATTAAGTAGTTGAGGAGCTGCAAAAGTATTCAGTTTTAGACTCGCAAATATCAAGGAACAGGTTTTTTTTGAGGAGCAGGTTTATGAGAGCTGTGATTCAATGCAAAATGCCAGAGGGTAGAACTCTATGCCAATTGTGTCTCTCACAAAGCCAAATGTGGTAAGATTTTAACTAGAATGAGCTCATTATTACAAGTTATCTCTGTTATTCAACAATTAATTTTGCAAAAGAGTTAATGTTATGAATGACTCCTAAACTATAATCAAATATTCAATGTGGTACCTAAACTATGAATTTGTTAACTAATGTAGTACTTGGAGGATAGTTTGTAGGTCACATGTCATCATTTGAAACTAACCATATTAGGGATGAGTAGCACTTTAGCTATCAGATTCATAGCACAGGTACCACATTAGAGATTTTTAAAGTTAAGATACCACATTGAATATTTCACTATAGTTAAGAGCCATTCATGATATTAATCAGTTGGAAAATGATTGCAACATTATGGCCAGTCTCATTTGGCTGGAACATAAACTGTTCACATCCGTCACTTTTCCAACACCTAAAATGTCAATGAAAAATCCATAATAATATTCAGCCAGCAATTCTATTACATCGAAATAGCTCAGAACGAGCTATCACAGAGAACAGCACAGAGATATAAGATCCATAAAAAGTAATAAAGGAAACAGCAGCATTTGCACAATCCTAGACAATCATGCTGCTAATATGAATTAATTGATGCTTAAGATACACAACCTTGACAAATTTTCTTCACATATGTACATTATCAGGAAAACAGTTATCCAAAGAAATAAAAAGTAGCATTTTCTTCAACCTCACTGTGATGGGTAACATGTATCAGAATCACTAATGCCCCATAATCCGAAAATTGAATTGCCATTATCGTGCATATCCATAAGTCAGACTGTCAGAGCAGAAAATAACATCTCTAAGTAGATTAATCAGTCCACCACCGACCGAACCACTTTTCAAGTTCTTTCTCACTAATAACTTAATAGCTTACAAAACCAGAGTTCTGTCAGAAATACTTGCTATGCTTACATGTTGACAGTGTCAAGCAGATTAATTTTGCAGGTACTATATAAAAAAAGAAAAGTCAAAGTGAGATGAATCTTTTGCATAGAAGCATGGCAAAAAGGTTACCTCCAAAATGGGCAGGGTGGAAACGGCAAGCCCGAGGGTGATTGTGCAAAGGGTCGAATTGAGTTTTGCAGTTTTTGCATGTTTTGAGGTTTTTGGTGGTGGGTTTTGCTGTGCAGAGAATTGGAGTTGGACCCAATTTGGGTAGTGTTTGGGTGGTTTTAATAGAACATAGGTAAGTGTTCAATCCCTGATGAATGAGTGGTGGTTTTTTGCGAGCGTATGGCGAAGGAAAGAGTGGGATTGCTAGAGCCATGTGATAATAATCCTCTTCTTCTTCTTCTTCTTCTTCACCCTTCGGGCTTCAGGGTTGGCGGTCTCCCGATTTGGGTTTTGATTTATTCGTTTTTCCGTTGCGAAAAACAATAGCAAAAAGAAGTAAACTGCTAGGCCAGGTCCAGGTTTTCACCTCTTTTTTTTTTTTTTTTTTTTTTTCATTTTGGCTTAATATTAATAATTTAAAAATAATGTTAACCAATCAGATATTCCAAAATCTAAAATATAAGAATAGTAAAAAAAAATAATTATATAAATATTATTTAAAAAATTAACCGTAATTTTCAATTATTTAAATGTCAGTTTAATTGCAAAAGAAAAAGAGAGAGAAATTATAAACTTATTACCATGCAATTTTTTTAAAAGGAAAATTGTTTCTCTTTTTAATATAAATTCTGAACAGAAGAAGAAAATAATACAGAGGATGATCGATTACATTAGTGTAAATGTTACATTTTTTAATTTTTAAATTAAAATTATTAAATTTAAAAATATTATTTTAATTCAAATGAGTTATGAATTTAATTTTAATTTAAAATTTTAAAATAATGTAAGAGAAAATTTTAAAATAATGAGTTATGAATATTATATTAATATAAATGGATGCTTATTCAATAATATAAGATATTTTTCTTAATTACCTAGTTTTGATCCATATGAAAAATATTAAAAGAAGAGAAATATTTTATTATTGATATATACAAAAGAATTAGAGAGGAAGAAAAAGAATCCAGACCTTGAATTTTTTTTTCTTCGAAAAAATGAACTTTGAACCTTGATAAGGGGCGTAGCCAAGTATGATTTTTGGGATCTCAAATTTTAAAATATTATAATTATATATGTTTAGAATAGTAAATTTTTTGTAGTTTTCTTATATTAACTCCATTCAAATTCAATAAAAACATAAAGTGAGTGAGGGGTTAATCAAATAAATTTTTTTTATTCATTTTGGTAAGGATAATATTAATATTTAATTTCAAATAAGATAAAAGTCTTTATACCTACTTGTAAATATAATGATATGTTAAGAAGATATGAATAATACCCAAACAATCTTTCAAACTTTGTTAAAGAAATAAAATAAATAATTAATATTATATCGTATTAAATTAAGATTATCAATTCTTACTTTATTGTAATTAGAATTCCGATATTATAAAATATTGAATTTTTGTTAAAAACTTCTTAGTTTGATGATGTAATTTATTGAAAATTAAATAAATAACAAAAACAATAATAAAACAATATCCAATTCCATTTATAAATTTAGGAATGATTATATTATAAGCATGATTGTATGAGATAATATCACATTATAGTAATTTTTTATTAAAGTATATTTTTAAATATTTAAAACAATTGAATTTAATTTCTTTTAAAAATACAATATAAAAAGTACTTATGTGTTTATATAATATGATTTAGGGTGAGTTTGGACGAAGAATTTTGAAATTTGAAAAATTTTGAAATGCATTAATTCAAAATAACAAAATTTATAATTGTATTGTTTGGATAATTATTTTTTAGAAAGGAGCTTTAAATATTATAATTTAAAGAGATTAAAAAAATTCTAATTGATAAATAATGATATTAGAGATAAAAAAAAATATAAAAATATATATGCAATATGAGTGTTATTAGATTTGTAAAAATGTGTAAATATTATTAATAATATGAAAATTTTTAAAAAAAATAAATTTGATGATGAGTTTTTGTAATTAAAAATTGAAAAAAAAAAAAACAAAAGTTGCTTAAGAAAAAGAAAAATATTAAATGTTGACTTCTTACCATAAAAACAGAAAATTTCACAAATTTTACTTTTTTAGATGAAATTTGAAAACCCTTCAAAATTCCTCATTCAAATTACAAGAATTTTGACAATTTCAATTTTTATTTTACCAAACAAAATAATTTTATTTTTAAATTTTAAAAATTTCTCTACACATAAAATCTCTTCTTGAAATCTCTCGTTTAAATGCACCTTAGTGTATGAATATGATTCCACTAAAATTATTTTTTTAATACACCACTATTAATAATCTATATAACCTTATATAAAAAAAATCTATGAAAGAATTTGATATGACACGTGTTTTCTTTTTTTTTTTTTTCCTTTATACTAAGTGTGCTTTTACTGGATGGCAGTTTTCTTTTTTTTTTTTACTATTTTATGTTTGACTTGGTGGAGGATCAAGTAATTTTTCTTCCCGTGTCTCTTCCATTGCTTTTTTTTCAACTGTTTTTGGGTACAAATTTTTGTTCTCTTTTATTGTTTCGTTGAATGTGGGATTTGTTTTCATTTGGGTTTCATTGTCATTATTTTGCTATTATAGATTGTAATTTCTTTTAAAGGAGTTTGATTATTGAATGGGTTTTAGGTTTTGCGATTGAGAGGTTTGCAATTTTGTCGTGAATGTATTTTTTTAGAAGATTTTGTCTTTACATATTGTAATCTTGAATGAAAATGAGTTTTAGTTGTTTTCATTAGCTATGCTTTTTATTTTGGATACTTTTGGTATGAAATTAAACAGTAAAAAAACTAATTGTTGGATTTTAATGATATTATGAGTTGTTCAAAATTTTACCAAAAAATGCATAGGTTTGATGTGTACTATTTAAAAGCCTTGATTTTGAATATAAGTTTTGTATGATTTTAAGTTGAATGTGATGAAAAGGAGAAACAATTTTTGTTAAGTGATTTGGTGGACCATTGTGGGTGCACTTGAAATTTTGAGTTTATTGCCTTGTTTTTAATGTGATTTATGTGTATAGTTAATGAAAAAATTTGTTCATAACCAAAGAATGAAGTTCAGCAAGTTGAAAATGGCTTAGGAAAGCTGTGGTGTTCATAAAACTATTGGAGACATATAGATTAGGTATTAGATGCACTCAATCCATCATTGTTAATTGAACTAATTATGAGTAAGAAGTTAGTATTTGATACATGAAAGGTTATTTTCTCAAAAATTAACAAGTACAAAGCAAATAGTTAGAAGTAGAATAGATCGTAACATGTAAGGATATCTCACTCAATACTTAGCTTGATTTTATTAAAAGAATATGTTTGTTAGGCATTGTAAATAATGAGAAAGTTCTTGGTATTAAGTTACTTAGGATTATATTGGAAGCTAAGTGTTTGATTACCTTAATGTTTTTCCAGATGGGAGAACCTAAGAAATTTAATGCACCTACTATATATACATCTCAATCAATATTGCAAACAAATATTGGTGATTCAACTGAAAACCATGGACCATCACATGCAGTTCACATTTTACCATCAGATAGACCAATTCATGCAACTGTATCTTTTGGAAGCTTTCCAGTTTCTTCGCCCCTACTCATGTTATAGCAGCAGGTACAAACTCCCTTGCAACATCAATTACCCTTCAGTGATGTAAAAATGCCTACAATGTCCACTGGATTGCCAAATAGTCATCTAGCAAGGTATTCGTCTTCATTTGCATATGCTAGGGTTGAAAGACCACAAATTAAGTTGGATGAAGGATCAAGTGTGGCTTCTTATGTCTCTCAAATAGCAGGTAATTCTTTCTTCCACCATGTCTCCTTCCCTTAGTAGCAAAGAAAATTGAAGGACCCTATTTACATATCATTAGGAATTTTTTAGGCTTTGTATTTAGTATTATCTAGAGATTTGATAATATAGCATACTTCCTTTTTCCATGAATGTGGGAATGGTTTGCTTGTCTTGCAATGATGTTCTATTATAACTTTCTAATACAGTCATATTATTGCCCAACTTAATGTTAACTTTCTCTTAAATTATTAGAATTTTTTTAATTGCAAGTATTTAAAGGAATTCATAAATAACTTATTTGTGATAGGTTAAGACATAAAAAATACGAAATTTTAGTTAAAAAAATCTAGATCTTTTTTTATTTATTTAGGGCACATTTGATTTTAGTGGTTTTTTTTTTTCTTATTTCTAATAATTTGGTTTTTTAATTGTATTGATTTTTCTTGAGTTTAATGTGATACTTAAGCTTTATTAGGAACTGAATTTATGAGATAGTTTTCATAAGCCTTAGAATTGTTTTAATTGTATTTGTTTCTTATTTAGATTTAAGGATAAAACAGTCATTTTATGCTTTAAACTGGTGTTCGCACAAGAATCCTTAGAGATAGTTATAATATAATGTTATGATGATACTGAAGTTGTTGGTTTTTTCTTTAATTTTTTGGCAAAATTTTATGCTATATTTATCTTAATGATTACACTGCATGCACTAGTAATTATAATAGACGTTAGAAATTTGAAATATATTTTTTTATTTTGTTCATAATTTTTACAAAATCCTTAGATTTAAAATATTTATTAGCTTAAGGTTATATAATGTTTCTGTTTAACAATTTTTTATTTAACATTATAATCACTCAATCAAATATTAATTCAATACAATACAAAAAATCAGAGGAAACCAAACCCCAATTACTAATAATAGAATAATAAGTAACCCAAGCCTTAGCTATTAACTAATTAGTAGGATTTTTTTTTTTTTACTTTTTTTAAAATATCAAGACATGTAAGCATGCATACTCAATATATTCACATATAAAAGTATATATATATATATATATATATAATTCATTGTATCTTACTTTTATATATTTTTATCTCTTAATTTTAATATTATATAATGTGAACACCGTTATGTAAACATAATTCATTTGCCATGTTAGACATTATTTTTATTCTTACCATGTAAGCATCATTCATTTATTTCTTCGATATAAATTTTCTTCAATGGCATAGCCAAAATATTATTTAGTGGGGTCAAAAAATAATTACATTATTTATTTATTTTTTAATCTCTCAAAATTATATTTCTTTTTTTTTTTAAACACCTGATATTATTTTATCTTTTTCAATCATTTATTACTTCTTATTTCTTAATCATGAAGTTAAAAAAATAAAAATTTTAAATAATAACACTGTTATTATAAAAAAATGCAAACAGCAAAAAAAAAAAAAAAGATAATTATCTTATATTACAAGGAAATTTTAATTTAATAAGTGAGATAATTAGAAAGTTAATGTGTATTCGTTAATATATATTTAAAAGATGATAAAATTTTCAAGCATCTAATCTCATTTACAAAGTATAAAAACTCGATCATTAATATCAATAATAACAATCCAAAAGAAAATATTCAATATAAATATTTTTTATAATTATCATAAAGAGTTTTAATATTTTGAAAATTATAATTAATATATCAAATGTAATTTTTTAATAATATATAATCAAAACAATTATTCCTCAAACTATCTCCTCTTAGTTTAAGTAACAAAATTTTCATTATTTTCAATGTTAGAAAAATTTTTTTTGTACATTGCTAATGAGGCTTTTACTTAATGGCAATGAAAAAATCTTACAACTTTGATATCTCAAATTTAAGTTTCACTATATGTGAATTTGATCTAATTTTATATTGTATTTATTTAATTATATGCTAGTCTATTTGATGTAATTTATTGATTTCTTATATAAAATATTTAAATATGATTATACTTCCTTTTGTACAAATATCTTCGTAAAGGAAAGAATTTTTATATATTTGTAATTTCAATTAATAAAATCGAAACTAATGTTATCATTGAGTGCATAAATAGGACTAATATTTTTCTAACTAATCTTAACTATAACTTTTTATGATTTTTATTTTTTATTAAAAGTTTATTTCAATAAACGATGAAATTTATTTCGATAAAATTAAAAATAATGATAAAAATAAAATTAATTATTGTAATAATGAAATTAAAATTAATAGTACGATATATATACTTAAATGCAAAAGCAATTGTGGGAATAAGCTAAATTAAAATAAGAGGAAAAAATGACTTTTCAAAACATTATTAAAAGTTTTATATAATAAAATTGTATATTATTTAATATTTATAAAATTTATTATATAGAAGTTGTTAATAAATAATGAAATTTATTCAAATGATTTATTAATTTATTAAATAATAAAATTTATATATTATAATAAATTAACAAAATTATTTCATAATTTCTAATAAAAAAATCAAAATGAAAAAAATAAATTTAGGGGCATTTTCGACATAATAATAAAAGTTAAAGGAGAAAATTGGTAAAACAAAATAAAATTTTTTTATGACCGCTCACCAACTAAACGAAAAATAGCTAATTGACGATTGACCAGGTGGTAATCTCACTGTAAAACCATTTGGATTTAAAATTACAACAGACACATTTTTCATGACAACTGCATCGTCACTAATGGTGCTTCACAATCCAAATGGGCCTTGAATATATATATATATATATATATATATATATATAACAATAAGCTGTGTAAATAGTAGTATTTAGTTGATAGATACCAAGCCTAATTTGAAATCTGAAATTGCTAAAAGATTTTTTTTTTTTTTTTTGTGTTTACCTTTCAACGTATAGTTCCATATCACCATTGTAAAATTCAAGGATACCATTTCTAGTTCGGAAGAAGATATTGAATTTAAGTCCAAACCACAAGCAATATTTCGAAACAAAAACCAATTAAATACTTTAAAACTCTCAGCCACAAGTGTAGCATCACTTTGAAGAAAGAAAAGGGATAAAAGATTAGCATGACCGGAGGGATGAAAGAGGTTTGCCTTTGTGGCATGTCATGACATGTTCTAATACAATCTCCTTCACCTGTTTTTGCACATCTTCCAAGGGTCGGCAAGCATCTAGAATCTGGCAATAAACACAGGAAATTTTCAGCTAGGGCGATATCTTCATCAACTCCGATAATTAGTTGAATAAAACTGAAGAAAAAACTTTTTAACAGACTGAAGTAGCAGAGGGGTCTAAAATTCTAGGATAGAACTATGACAAGTGACTTGATTTTACTCACTGTTGTGATTAAATATTACACATGTAGCGTAAAACAGCAATTCGGGCGATGCTTCTTGCTATTGCTAAAATATAAGATGAAACAAACTACTACCTTCCATGAAGAATCTTCAAGGAGCTTATATTGTTGGGCGACTTTCCTCTGAAACTCAAGTTGCTCATATCTCTCACCTCCATAGCCTCCTCTTTCTGCAGCTTTCTGATAACATCAAACAATATTTCAGTTGTATAGGATTGTTATACTAAAGTGCCAAGAAACTCAGTTCACAAATCACCAACATAAGCATGAAAGAAAATGTCAATATCTATGCTAACTCCATTGAACAGAAGCATCTAATATGCATATATATATATATATATATATTTATATATTCAGACATATAATATGCAACGCAAATACCAGTTTTTTTTTCATGTTCTATTTTTGTCAAACTGATCTGCACAACTGAGATTATGATAACCAAACTCAATTGCATTAGCTCATTAACAAAAGGAGCCTGTCTATATGATACTAACTGCATTGACTGATTTCTAAACTTTTATTGAACTTTATCATGTGCTATTAAAACCCGCATATACATATAACCTCATGACCCTTTGTTAATGAAATAAAGAACAAATTTCCAATGACATTATGAAATTTTTGACACCATGAATTCCCTGGGAAAACCACAGTGAAAAATCTGTTTTTTGCTAGGTGGGGAAAGATGCAGTGCTGTAAATGCAGTTGACAGTTTAGATCAATTGAGAGCAGCTTATTTTGAGCAGGTGGCAGTGTGTGCCATGTAAAAACAGCATAAATTGAACAGTGAAATATTCCTGGGCATGAAAAAGGGCAAATGGGAAAAGATAAGTCCCCTTTTTGACAAACTTTAGGGGGTGTGTGGTGGTGAACTATCAACACCACAATCATTAAACCAAAGTATTCAAACCAGAGTTGATTGCTTAATGTAACCAATCAAGTTAACTAATTTTAACATAAAAAGCAGTTGTGTGCTGACTTACCTCTGGCGGTATGTCGAGGTACACTACCAGATCTGGAGCTATTAACCCGATCTCTGGTGCCTGTAAGAGAAGAGCTGATTTTGTTATCAATGACCATGGTAGAAAATAACTTAATACTTGTAGCAGTTCGTTTTTTTAGCAGCATTCCTCCACCTTACACCATTCAAAATCAAGTCCTTTAGCAGATGAGAAAGCAACCCCAGAATAAGAGTAGCGGTCTACTATAAGGGTGGTTCCAGCTTTCAGTTTGGTTTCCATCGTTGATCTGCAACAAATGGTGGATTTTACTACTTCATGTTACACTGCAATACTACTATCAGAAGCATGAATATGCAGATATCTGATTAATATAGTGGTATTCCAAAATTGGAGGAGGGAATATCCAAATGGTCCATATGCAGAGCACATGCCATGAATTAAACTCAGACAAATATGTTTGTCAAAGCAGTAATGCTGTTCATCAAATTCATTGTATCTTTCACCAAAATATGTCATTTCATAATTTCATCTGATAAATATTCAGAGAACATCAGGCTCATACAGATACTGTACACAAAAGTGTTACTCTGCCAACTAATCAAGATGGCCCCACTTATCCTTGTTGCAATGCCACCACACAAAAGCACATCAACATAGTCCATGGATTGTCTAAAGCCATGTTTTGGTGAAGTTTGTCGTACTCACTCTCCAACTTAAAAAATGCCTACTTCTAAGCGTAACATCAGGCAATAAAAGATGCCTTGGAGCCCATTATGTAGTCAAAGGCACAAGGGCTTACACACTCAAGAGATGCTAGGACAACTGTATCACACGAGGTGGAAGGAAATTATACAGCACTTACCTAAACAAAGCAAGGGACTAAGAAAGAAAAAAGCAAGTGTACAATAAATATGCATATTATACCTGATAAACTCCATGATAGATATTTTAGCTAATAAACACCTGAAAGTTAACTCCATTCCTAGACTAATGTATTAAAAAGATGAAGCATTACTCAGCCAAAAGGAATCATCAAGCTACCACTTTTAAGTTTCCTTAACTTCCATCTTCCCCTGATTAATAATCTTCTATATTTTCCTTCTGAGTCTCTTCAAGCTTAGCCTCTTCCTGGTCAAAGTAAGTATGGTTATGATGTTATACATGCAACCCTTTCTTCTTTTTTTTTTTTTTCTATTTTTTTATGCAAATGCTCTTTAATTATAAAAAGACACATTTCTTTTCATATTCTTGGTAATTGAAGGTATAGTGCATAAATAATAAAAGAAAAGAAGACCAGAGAAGAAAAAGTCACTTGAGTCAGGTGTACCTCTTGTTTGCCGTGCCTTTAAAAGGGCACACCTAACTCAAGAAAAGGCATACACCTAAGTAAAGGTGTTTTTGCTGGTTTATACATCGCCTTAGCACCTAGGAATGCACCTTGATAACATTTGCACATCACATGCGATACGTTATTAGAGAATGAATATGACACTCTTAGCTACAAATGCATAACTTTACCATTAAATTAAGGTTCAATATAGAGAAGTTTAACCATTCCAATCAAGATGATACTTGGCTGTGTATTTTATTTGGAAGTGAAATGAATGCAAATGCCAAATCCGAGAAGACAAACACATGAAGCAGAGTCAGAGCAGTGTAGCTAAAAGGATTTTCCTTTCATAAATGGTGGCTAAGAATAAAGTGCTACTAAAAAGAATTAAATCAGACACTAAAACATTCAAAGATTGCAAAACTTGTTGAGAAATGCAGCATTGCAGAACTGAGAAGACAAATATATGGAGCAGAGCGGAGGTAGTGTGGCTAAAAGGATTTTCCCTTCATCAATTTGGCTAACAAAAACTACAATAAAAAGAATTAAACTGAACATTAGAAACCTCCAAAGATTGAGAAACTTGTCAAGAAATGATTAAGTTACCACAAATCGAATCTAGAAATGATCATTTTGCTTAAAACAATCACTAGAACAAATAGCACATCGTAATTTACCAACAGCAAAGATTGTTGTAGAGCAATCCATAAGTTTCAAAACAAACCTCTTCTCCCACCGATTTGCACTGAAAAGGAGATGGATTGTGCGATCATCCAACTGGGATTTACTAGTAAGATATGCAGATATCATCTTCCCAACACTTGTAGTTCTGTCTGGAAATCGCCATAGTTCAACTGAATGACCCAATCCCTCCAAATATGAAAGCAGCCTCCCACATTGTGAAGTTTTCCCACTACGATCCAATCCTTCAAAAACTACCAAGGCACCTCTAGATTCATTGTTTTCACCCATCAGGGTACAGCTATCGGTATTTTTCATTCTAATGGAACTAACTGAAAACTTGCAGGAAAGATTCAATCTGAAATTCAATGATCTCCTCACTACCAAAGCTCTGAAATTTCTGGAACCCAACAACTTCAAAGTTAAGAGTTCCGCATTATTGAGTACATGAGAAAATTAAACTATCAACTCAAATATCCAAAAATAAACTTTTGTAGACAAAAATGGACTACAAGAAATAGAAGAGAAAACGTAAAAAGTACTTACAAAGCATTAGAAACTGTAAAAGAGCAGGCACGTCTCATGTCCCTAATAATGCTACAAACTGCAATTAAGATAAAAATACAAACAGATCCAAGAATTAAGCAACTGAATCTAACAGTTTGAAGTTTCAATTAATATATATATATATATATATATATATATATGCTTGTGCATCAGGCTAGAAAGAGTTCCACATAAGGAAAAAGGAAATAACATATATAAAAAAACCCAAATAAAAAAGAGCAACGCTAAATGCCCTGCCTAGATGTACTGCTTGAAGCATAATATTAAGCTTTTTCTTTTCAACTGTTCGTTTAATTTCATGTGTTCAATCCCCCCACCACTTCCTCTCTCTTTCACTCTCAAACTTTTTCGTTCTCCTCGGATCTCTCATTCATTCATCTTCCAAATGCACCACCACTTGTCAACTATTTTTTCAATGTCGAAACAAGATTTTCGCCCAAAAAAAACTTAATGAAAGATCTCAGCAAAACCCTATTTGGAGAGAAACATCACTATATCCATCCTTTCTTAAACAACAAAAATATTAAGTTAAAAATAAAATCATATATAAACTAAGCTTTTAATACCAATTACTTTTGAAAATCCAAACTCTCACCCCAAATCCACCTTGATAGATTAATCAAAAATCATAATTAAACAGTTGAACAAAATCTCAATTTCAAGAAACGATCTCATTCTCAAAAAGAAAAAAAAAAACTAGAATAACGTCATAATCAATATACAGTTAACGGGAAAAAAATTTTGACATGATATTAAGGAATAAGCATTTACAAAACCAAAACCCAGAAAATAAAGCTGGAAGAGAGTAAGTACCAGAGAGGAAATGCAGCCATTAGAGAGAAAAAGGAGAAGTTTTAGAGGGAAAACTATAGAAACTTCTATAAAAAGTGTAACCTTGCCCGCGCAAGGTAAGGTAATCAAACGACATTTAGTAACGGGTCAAAAAGACCAAACTACCCTCTTTGGCCCAATTCTCTTTCTTGTCTTCTTTATTTTTTTCCTCAAAAGTTTCTAGGGTTTCAAAAATGGCAAATAACAGCAATAAAGAAGAACCAAGTACTGCTCCAAAGCCTAATCGATGGTACAATATAAGTTTAGGTTCTTCCTTCAAGGACCAACACCAACCATCTTCCAAATTGTGCACTTTACGCTGTAAGTACCCATTAACCCCTCTTAATTTTTCTGGGTTCTGTTTGGTTTCCAAGAAACACTTTCTCGTACTTAGTACCCCTCCTGTTTTTCTGGGCTCTTTATGGTTTCCACGAAAACGAAAGAAAAAGACCCTGAATTTTATTGTCTGATTTTACTGGTACATAATTTGATCTTTTATCATATTAAAAAGTATTTAGAAAAAAAGTAGGATTTTTTAAATTGGTAATCCAAAGCAACAATAATATTCGAGTTCAGTTTTGAAAAAAAAATTGAAATCGAAGAGATTGTTAAAGTAGTATATACTTCAAGAAAATTTGAGATAGGGTAAACGAGAAAATTTCTGTAGTATATACCTTGAGTTGCTTTCTTTTCTTTTTTTTTTTTGTTTTTTCTTTTCTGATTTTAATGTTCGATTAGCAATATAAAGGAGGGGTTTGATTAGCAATCGTTACTGAATAACTTAATATGTTCTTTTTCTATCAGTGGAATTGCAAATCATTGAGTTTTAGGCTTTAATTTTTGTTTTTCGCAGTCCTTTACTAAAATAATAGGGAATTTAAACATTTAACCAATTTGAACTGAATATTGTTGGTTTTCGTCTCCAGTAGTGAATCTCCAATTTTTAGATGAGGTTTGAATATTAAGAGTTGGTTTGGTGTTTATGAGAGTTACTTTCTCCATTAGCTAGGAAGTGTACTTTTAGTTGCCTTTTTTTATTTTCACGATGTTTGATTATCAATCTAGTGGAGGGGTTTGTTATAAGATCAGCTTCAATTAGATTGATATATTTATTCCTCTCAGCATGTAAAAAATTTGAGAGTTTCGAAATGTAAGTTTTACATCTTTTGTTTGGTTCTGTTGTAGATGAATTTAAGCCGGCATCAATTGATAAGAACCAACCAGGATTATTCCACAAGGCTAAGGATAACCGGGTTAAGGTAGAATTTGAAAACAACCAACATGGAAAACCCAAGGTGACATTTGAGGGTGTCAGTGAAGATTACAAGGATAATGATGCAGTTTTGTTCTTTGATGGTGAGACCTTTCGGTTAGAACGGTTACACCGAGCTGTGAAGCGGTTGAGGCATGTACGGCAGCCTGGTGAATCCACAGCTGCAGCTACCACAGCCTTGGCTCCTTCAGCTGGCCCTGCTGCAGAGTCATATTCACCTCCACTTGGTAAAGGACTGAAGCCTGAGTCTTTGAACAAAGGCCCAGTTATGCCATTGCCAGTGAGTTTACTTTATTCCTGCAATCTCATGCATCTTTTGCTATGAGCGAAAGCAAAGGACCACATTTGCTTATAATCATTGTTGAAATGGTGTTTTGACAGCCTGTTACTTAACTCTTGTTTTTTAGTTGAATAAATTAGGCATTAACATTGTTAATAAGATCTAAAATTATGTTAATTTTTCTATTTGTCCTGTTTTCTATGTGATTGTACAGCTTCAGGTGGAACGAATTGACACTGGTGACTTCGAGAGTGGAGGTTAGATTTTTTGTTTATTAGATACTAATATAGTCAAATTAGACCTTCATCATCATGATTTTACCGGTCTATCTGAATTTGGGTTCAAACTTGAAATCAAAGACATCATTGTCAGAATCCAGGTTGCTAAGCTTTTATAGATACACTAGCCACTTTGTATTTTTGGAATTTGTTGATTTTAGTTAATTTGTTATACTGTGGCATACTCACACTTCACTGCCCATATTGCAGAATCTAGAAAGGAGAACAATGCAGAGTACCCATCATCAATTCCTAATCAACCAACTGCATCACCATATCCTAAAAATTATGAATCAGAAGAACAGGTGGATATAGTCAATGATGATGATGATAATGATGGTTTGGGGACAGATAAGCAAGACAATGCCGCTGACAAGGTTTCCACTGGTATTGGCATTGATATCAACTTACCACATCAAGTTGACACAGATGATGAGATTGCTGATGTAGATGTAAGTGATGATGAAGAACATAAAGTGGGACGTAATGCAGCCGAAGCTCTTAGAGCTCAGGTGAATGCTGAAGGGAAAGAAGAACAGACTTCAAGCTCAAGCAGTAGCAGTGGAAGTGAGAGTAGCGGGAGTGGTAGTGGAAGTGGGAGCGGGAGTGGGAGCAGTAGTAGTGATAGTGAAAGCAGTGATGGTGACTCTGTCATCTCTATTTAAATGGTTAGAATCATGCAGATTTACTTAGTCTTCCAACAACAGCCTAGTAACTGTTTTACATGGCATACTTTGGCATTGTTGTTGAATTACCGGTTGAAAAACTGGGGTTAAAAGATTGTTGTGAAAATTTACTATGGAAAAGGTTTTTTTAGATTTTTTGATTGTTTAGCTTTGCAGTGAATTAAAATGTCCAAAAAGGCATTGATGAACTAATGAGAAACTGAGTTGTACAGAGATATGCAAGTAGTTTTGTTAGAAAGTGGTTCAAAACCATCTTCTGTAGTTCAAAAGCCTTTTTTTTTTTTTTGGTTATTTGGCATTTGATGAGGTATAAAAGCTGCTTTTAGCCAAAAAGCAGGCTTACTTCATTGCCAAACAAGGTTTAAGAAGATCATCCTCAGAGCATTGGTATGGATTCTGTAGCAATAGAAAAATAGAAAAGCTGGTATGAGATTTTGTGATTTCTATATGGATGCCTTTCTTTGCCAAAACCATTGGTAGAAACAAAGATGTTGACGGTAATAGCTGTTCAAACTGAAAACCAATGCCACAAAAGGAATGTTCCATCAGCAGGTGCATAGAGATCATCTCTCAAGTAACAATATGCTAATGCTACAATCATGACTGTACGCAGAAATGCAACCATAGTCTGATGTCTTTGATGCTTATTAAGTTCAACTCATTGACACCATAAGCCAAAACAAAGTAAAATCTAACAGATAAAAACATTCCAGATAGCTATTATGCAAACAAATACTAATATGCAGATTCAGAGGCACATTGAGGTCCAAAATTAATGTAAATAATTTTTGTTCCATTTTTATTTTCGAAAATTTTGTTACAATCTTACAAAGTCCAAAGCTTAGTGAGAGAAACAATAGAAGATGACCTGTAGTTTAGGCACTAGTTATCTCACAAATCTCATAAAGGAGCAGGTTCTCGTTTCCTGTTCTATGTCTCTTCCCCCATCACTTTCTTGACCTCCAGTATATCCATTTTGCAACATTTTATGTTCTGTAGGGAAATTCTTCTTCGCTTTCTTGCTCCCTTCGACTTTCCACAAATCCCACACTCAGGTTTTGGGTGGAGGTGTTGCATCTGCAATACGAGCAACTTACCCTGGCCTGCCATCATCAATAACTCCATTAACTAAACCATATTTCCTTAGCTTCCCAGGGATTCATGAAATTATCGTGGGCTGTGTCTATTTCAATCTGCAAAATAATGGATGGTTAAAATAAGACAATTCAAGAAGGAAAACAAAGAGAAGTACAAGAAAAGAAGATGACAAAAAAACGTTGGAAGGCATATTGAAAAATATCCAACCTGTTCTTCAGGCTTTCCTGTTACTCTTGATAATATCTTGTTCAGCTTAACCTTGTGGTGCACCATTTCTCTTATATATATGCTCATCTCTGTAGCCTGGAATCAGACGCAACAGTTTCGTGTGAATAACATAAACCACCATAAATTAACTAACTACAGACAATTGTATCCTTCTAAGACAACATCCATCTTAAAATGAGCCAGACAAATTACTAGCAGAGTTCAAGTTAGGCTTGTTCTATCAATTAGAATACTTTCTACTAAGCTCCATCTCTTGCCATTTAAAAACTCCATTTTTCCAATGGTTAACATCATTTTATCTTGCCAGAAAGTTACACTTGAACAAGAAGAAAAATTTGCTTCCGAATAATTAACCATGGACACATTAAGACAAGCAATCTACATTTATATATGATGAAATACACTTCTGATTCATATATGTAGAAAAGCAATCTACATAATTTGTTTCCGATTCATATAGCATTCTTCTTCACCAAATTTGCATGTAAATCAAACAAAGGTGAAAGCTACTTCCAGAAAATTGCAAAAGACAAATTAAAAAATGTCCTCCTACATTAATATATGACAGAAACACACACCAACTAATCACCCTTTCCATTCATCATATATCATTCATCTTTGACATATTTGCATATATAGTAAACAACAAAGAACTAGCAGAAAAACTCGGTATTGACAATATGAGAAAGCACTCAAAGTTGGCATAGTTATATAAACACTTCAAGGTATAGCATGGTCAACTATAGCAACAATAATGCAATCAAATCTCTTGTTGATTTAAGCCACATCCATTTTCCTTCAATTAACTCTGTCCCTTGATGTACTAATATCTTCTCAGGAAGCAAAGAGAATAAGAATTCAGAATTGAAGCACATTCGAATATCAAGACAAATGATGATTGTAATTTCAGTCTGGATTATAGAAGATCAACCAAAGAAAATTTGCAGGTCCAAATTGGAAAGCAAGCATGTCAAGTTTAATAACGAAAATAGACGATAATTAAATCAAACTTTCAGGTAGAAGTTTGAAAATAATTGTGTTATATTTAATAATTAAAACAAACAATGAAGTTAATAGTGCCCACGAGCCCTTGAAATGAAGATGTATAATTATTATCTCTGTGGATCAATGTTCATAAAGTTAAGCAGAGAATCTCGCACTTACTTTGCCTCCGGTAGTTCCAAGTGGTTGATGAATCATCACTCTTGAATTGGGCATGCAAAACCTCTTCGCTTTCATACCAGAAGCTAGGAGAAATGTTGACGCAGAAAGACCCAGGCAAATAGTTGAAACATCTGCTTTACACATCTTCATTGCATCATACATTCCCATACCTACACCCATCAATCAATGAGTGAAGGTTAACATAATTCGAAGGGTGACTACAAGCTACTTAGATATACTCAATTCTCATAAGCACCTAAAATATTTGATTCATCAATGTGAATACTTTCTTGCAGCTGATTAAGTAATTGTAGCACATTTATTTTCTTGAACAGCTAAATTTAAAACCACCAAGATGCAAATTTAAAGAGGTCACCTCCCAGATTATTTTGCATTTTGCATTCACGCACAGATAGACCTAACTTCGTCTCAATTCTCACACCTTGGAACTGATAAAATCCCATATGCTATTTTTTAATATATACACAAACCACAAACTTGAGGTTCCCAAGTGCTAAACAAAATGGCCCATGCAGCTTAGTGCATAATAACATTATAAAATCCAGACATGAACACAATGCCATGTGGCAACCACACTTCTAATCCATGAACTCTTTTTTACCCTTTTGGTTGCATCGTAAGCAGGACAAAAAAATTCTTCTGTATTTGACATCCAATATTTCAGCTAGTTCCACAAGTCCTAAAGGTACTTATGATTTGCTAAATCAGATGCCAAAGGGCATATGAGAACAATTACCAATCTACGAAGTTAGTGACAAGTTCTGATTTTCCAAGACATCTAAAAAATAGGAAGGTGAGAAAATGAAGCTTACATTTTGCAATGCTTTTTGTAAACTGTGTGCTTTCTCATCCAATAAAAATATCAGCAGAATTCATGAAAACCTTTTTGTAAAATATTTTATTCAACTATCACTTGAGCCATTAATAAAGCATGAAAGAAAAGGAAAAAAAAAAGTAAACAAATATCAAGCAAAATTGTGCTTATTAGAAAACCAAAGAATCATTTAAGCTAGCCAGACCCAACAATTGAAACCTGGTTTCTGAAGACAAATCAGGAAGTAGAAAATATTTAGTAGCTCACTCAACCTTTCTTCAGCTACACTTGCCTTCAGTCACTTGATTTCTTGAGGCATTTGATGTTTCAACCAATACATGAAGCTAACCAAGCTAGGAACTTTAGGAGCTTGCCTTATCGTAGACTACGAACAACACTCTTAAAACCTAATCTCAAACTGTTGGAAACAGTTTATTCAATTCAACGGCCCACTCTAATGCTTATGAATAAAGGCAAGAACGAGAGGAGAGAAGCTGCTAGGCAAGCATATGGAAGAAAACCTATAGATATACCAGCAGTCACGGAGCCACCGGGTGAATTGTTGAACAATTTAATGTCTTTCTCGGAGTCTTCAGCATCCAGAAGCAACAACTGACTTATAATCAAATCTGCTGTCATGTCATCCACCTGTTCAACATCAATGAAGAATTAAATAGATTCAAACCTGAGAAACTTCAAATCTCAGCCAAAGCAATCATCGAGACCTTTAAATTCAAAACCATGAAATAAAAAATTTGGCAAAACCCATCTACAAAAATTCAATCTTTAACCTACAAAATGCTGAAAAGAGATAATTCCACTTCCTCTATCTTCCATAAAAAGAAAACACAACACTAATAAATGCTAATAAACAAAACACTTTCCAAATTGAATTATAAAGCTAAGAAACAAGTAATTCTAGAAACAGAAAAGGAGAGCGAAACAAAAGAACCCACTAAACACAAACACAATTGAAATCCTAAACGCATTCAAACCGAACCCACTTTCCCAATTGAAATATAAGCTCAAAACAAAGTCAAGTACTTGAAAAAAAAAAGAAACCCACTTTCCAAGTAAGTTATAAAGCAATAGAAAACGAATTTACGAAAAAAGAAAAAAAAAAAAAAACAGATGAGAAAATAGAACCTTAGAACCCAAAAAGACAATACTTTGACGAAGAAGAATGTTGGTAGCATCAAGCTCTTCAAATCTAGGAAACCAAGCTGGAGCTGAAGTTGAAGTAACAGCGGATAAATCAGAGACATCCCAGTTGCTGGATAAGGTTGCTGTTTTTGGTTATGAACTCTTTAAAGCCTTAACACAAATGGTTTTACAAATCGTTTTTTCTCTCCTTTTATTTGGAAACAGAGACTGTTAACAAGACAGGGTAGTGGTTTGGCTATGTGGGTTAAACTCATCTCCATAGTTTCTTTTAAGGATGTTGGGACCTTTTTTCTTTGTATTTGCCTTTGGTTTCTGCCTGTCGTTTGGTTTTGCAGGAAAAGTAGTCGAAAAAGAAGACATGAAATAATCGGCTGGGATACTTGGTAGGATGACAACGGAGTGAAAAACATCGAATTTATTGTTTTGCAGGAAACGTAGTCAAAAAAGAAGACAGTGACTTTAATTGGGGATTTTTTAGGTAATTTATAAAATTATAAATTTAAAAAATTTAATTTAAATTTGAATCGAATTTATACGTTATCTAATTAGAATTAAATTGAATTGTATTGGATTAATTTATTGGTTTTTTAAATTTAAATTTAAAATTTTATATTATTTTAATGTAATTTTTAATATATTTAGATATAAAATAATTTTTTATTTTATAAAAATTAAAAAATTAAATTTTATAAAATTAAATTTAAAGTAATTTTTAAAGTTTAAAATATGATACTTAAATATTTTATAATTTATTTTAATTTTTTACCTAAAATGGTAATTTTCTTGTTATTTTTAAATATTTTTTTCTTTCATTTTTTTTCTTGTTTTTCTCTAATAATTAACTTTTTTTTCTCTAACTTTCTCCCTCTAATATCCAAACTCTTTCTTTTCTCTAATTTTTCTGCTAAAACTCAAAAAACTTAAGAATCAAGAACATTGACCATCGTGTTCTTCAAAATTTCCAAAACCCAATGATGTTTCCCTGTATCGTCATCACTCACCGTTGGTCATCGATACTAATATGCATCTAAAATTTGCTAAATTGCTCTTCTTTGACTCATTTTTCTCCTTTTCACACTGGTTTTCTTCGAAAACGCCCGAAATGATCTAGATCTACAAGTTTAGTTCGTAACTTCAAACTTCGAAAAAGTCTTATTCTCACTGTCCAATCTTTCCAAGCTTTCAATATGTCAGTGGCCTTCCCATGCTCTTCCTCTTCATGGGCCCCGATCTCTCAATATTACACTAGCCACCGACAACCCCCGCAACTACTCGTCACCAATTTTGTTGCTGCTGGTGTTTGTCCAAAAGCTCAAGAAAAGACCCGTTCGGCCTTTTCAACAATTTGGTGAACTTGGACTTTGAAAGATCTTCTCTAATATTCCTTGATTTGTTTTCCTGCTCTGAGTTTATTGTGGCATTTTTTTAATTCTTTCTCTCTATATGAACTAATTTTTGGCTTGATTGTGTCTGGATTTTTTTTTTTTCTGTGTAACGGCTTAGTTGTGCTTGTTGCTGGGTTTGGTAGTACATTGATAGCTAGGTTTTTGTGGCTGTTAGGAGTTAGGGTTGATGGGTAGTTTCGGATTGAATTGCTCACCACGAAGGTTCAAATGGTGATAGGATAAAGTAGCTGTGTTAGGTGCTAGCTGTTGGCTGCTTGGGGTTTTGGTCCAGTGATTTTGAAGGTTAGGGATGGTTGGACTATAGTGTGTGAGGTGAGGGGAGGTGAGGATGGTGGCGAACTAGGAATCGGATAGTTTTTAGAATTGTCGAGTGTTCTGGCTGAATTTTTTTAGAGAGAATGGAGAAGGTTGTTGGGTATTTAAAATTGTTAAACTTTGGTAAACTTATATATAAGCTGTTAAAATTTAACAAAAACAATTAAATCTTGGGCAAAGAAGTAATAATATAAATATAAAGTAGGTTAAATGTCACCTTCTAAACTTAAGAGATAATTTTAAATTTATAGTACGTCACAAGGTAATTTTATGTAATTTATTAAAATTTAAAATATATATAAAAATTAATAAAAATATATAATTTAATTCGATTTGATTTATTTTTTATTTAAATTTAATATATATATTTAATATTTAAATTTAATTCAAATCAAATAAAAAAATTATTAATCTTAATTAAAATCAAACACTAAGAATTGATTTTTCATTTTTTTCAAATTTTTTCTCACCGTTAATATTTTGAATGTTGAGAATTTTCTGCATTTTCAAAATGGTGCTGATTTAGATTTGGTTAATTGTCTATTAATCTTAGTAGGAATGATTTTCCTCGATAATAAAAAATATATTAAAATATTAAAAATATATTAAAATTACTTTTTATAAATTTTTATATTTTTATTATATCTAAATAAAAAAATTTTGGTAAAAAATAAGATCTATTTTTTATTTTATATTCATATAAGCTTTCATTTTAAATAAAATATTAATTTACGTTAATAGCTTATATAGGTAAAAATTAAAAGTTAATGATTTACTTGGATTGAAATTAAAATAGGGGTGAAAAACAAAATTGAGAAAATTGAGAACTTATTTTAAATCGCAATATTCAATGCAATTTAAATTGATTTATTTAGTTTGGTTTGAATTTGGATATTAAATATTTTTTTAAGTTCAAATTATATTTTGAATTGGAGAAAAAAATAAAAAATATTTGAATTAAATTAAATTATATATTTTTGTTAATTTATATATTTTAAATTTTATAAAATAAAAACAATTATTTTATATTTACATTTATTTAAATATATTAAAAATTATATTACAATAATTTAAAATTTCAAAAATTTAAAATTTAAACAATCGCATTGAATCAAACTAACAAAATTCGTTTCAAATTAAATTGATTTCAAAGAGAAATCGGTTCGAATATAATTCAAGTAGTGAAAAACCTAAAATATTATGTATTAACTAAAATAATCAAACTAAAATTGAATGGTTATGGTTAACATCTTATTTGAATACAAATTAAAAGATAAAATTTTATTTAAATATAATAAAAATACTTATTTAAATAAAATAATAAAATTTTTAAAAAAATTATTATTTTAACATAAAAATAAAAAAATTAATTTTTTTTTAAAATTCAATTGACTGGCTTTTAGCTCAAATTATGGTGGGAAAAATTTTAAAAATCATCACATACATTTTGGATTGGAAGTTGTTTAAAATAATTAAAAAAATTAAGTAAAAAACTAATTTATTTTATTTATATAATAATGTTTATGAGGTGCAATTCAATAATTTTGAAGTTCAAATAGTTGCAATAATTTTTTCATTTCAAAAGTAAAACTTTCTTTGTATTAAAAAATAATTAATAACAAATGAAAAATTATGGTTGTGTCTTTTTTTGATAGCAATGAATAATTAAGTATTATTAAATTTAATTTTAAGAAAAGTATTATTAAAATTTTGACATTGAAAATTAAAAAAATTTATATTTAAAATTCTTTAAAATATAGTAATAAATTTTAGTATTGTTAAATTTTGATTGAATATTTTACATAAAAGGTGTTCTGTTGAAAATTAATATTTTTAATAAAAAGGTTATAAAATATATTAAATTATAAACATTAATTAAATTATTAAATAACCATTTTAATAAAATCTAATCTACTAGTAATGAAGTTTATAAACTTCAAAATAAAAAATTAATTGAAACATTAACTAACTTAGGAATTTTAAAATTTATAATTTTTTAAAAATTTCGTGTTAAAAGTAAAAAAAAAAAAAAAATTGGAGACAAGAAGACGAGAAGACTAAACAAACGTAAGATAAAATAAAGGTACAGGGAGTTGAGAGAAAAAAAAAAAAGAGAATGACAAAGTTCTCTGTGGGGATCGAAGAAGATGGAGAGGGGCCTAGCAACCTTGTTCCGGTTCCTAAGCGTCAAAGGTTCGAAAGCATTTTTGGATCTAGAGGGCTCTGATCAAGATGAAGAAGTGGAAGAATCAGAAGGAGAAGAAGCATTAGAGGAAGAAGAAGAAGAAGAAGAAGAAGAAAAAGAAGAAGAGGAAAGTGGAGCTGAGCGAGGAGCCATGAGCCCTCAGACTGCTAGAGATGGCTCTATTTCTATTACCTTAACTGACCCTGACGTTCTTGATTGTTTTATCTGCTATGAGGCCTTGACTATCCCAGTTTTTCAGGTTAGTCTTTATTTAATGGTTTTCGGTTAATGGCTTTCAATTTTGGATATGGGTTTTTGCTTGTTGGGTGAAAAACATTCAAACTTTGGTTAATTTCTTGATTTTATGGTGAAAGGATTGGATTTTGAATGTGGGTTTTAATTTATGGGTGAAAAGGTTTCAGATTTTATTTCATTCTTAATTTTATCAGTGAAAGGCCTTGAATTTGATTTTTTTTCTTTTAATTTAACCCTGTGGTTTTTGTTTGTTGGCGAAAAGCTTCTAAATTTTGTTTAATTTCTTGATTTTGGCGCATAGATTTTGTTTGTGGGCGAAAGCTTTTCAAATTCACCAAGGCTTTCAAATTATATATATTTCTTATTTTCTTGATTTTCCGTTTGGATTTTTATTCAACTTGTCTTTTCTTTAAAATTTATGCCTGTGGAAATTTTACACTTGGTATGATATATGTATGTGGGACGAATCCATTAAGACTAGTTAGTGATGGAAAACTTTGAATTTTGATTTGGCGTTATGGTTGGAGAACTAGCTTAGATTTTTGGACATTTGGGGTTATTAGTTATTCTTATCGATTTCATACTTTTGGGATGAAGATAAGTTCACTGTGATTTAGCAAATCTGCTTATATTCTATAAACGGGTACTAGAGTTGAGAGATCATGGTCTGTTCTTCTGATTAATAGACTGCTGAAAGGATGTTTATGGACGTTGAAGAGGTATTCAGTGTTGCGGAGGATGATTTTTAAGTTGATAGAATGATGAGAATGATGCAAAATTTGCAGATTTATTTTTCCCCATATGAATTTGTAAGGGGACATAAGTGAAATGATTGTTGGGAGTTAAATCTAATTGCTGTTTCATCTATGATTATGTTTGGTACACAAGATTATAATAGGATCAATTAGGATGATATTATGAATAAAATTAGATTAAATAATGCCATCCTATCTTATGTTTGATGTGTGCAAGGATTATGATAGAATAATTTATTTATTAGTCAAAATTATCTTTTCTTAAAGTTTATACAATTTAAATTATTGATGTAACTTTTAAAGGTAAAATAGAGCATATAAGTTCAATCTGATAGATTAAAAATAATTCTCTCCACTTTGGGAGGATTGAATTATCCTATACCAAGAGGATGTTAATCCTTTTGGTAATCCTATCTCTTTCTTTAGATACAAATCAAACATAATATGGGATGATTATCATTTTATCCTATCCATCCTCCTATGCACCAAACATGACTTATATAGATAATGTATTACCAGGTTTTTGAATGATGCTAGATTACCAAACATGATACTGTATGTGGTACCTACTGAAAGGGAAACTTGAAAATCAAGAAGTTTTAATAGTTTATTTTTAAAGTTTTAGCTCCCAGATAATCGGGAGGTTACTTGGGAACCTTTTTCCAATGAGGATAACTTGGAACGTTTAAACCAGTGGTGAGATCTTACTTGCATCTATGAGAAGAGTCTAGATTTTCAAGTTACTAGAAAGAGGCAAGTATAAGGAAGAATGGAAGAATAGGTCATTTTATCTATCTTTCACCATGTAATTAACACATTCTGGCTCCTGCAAAAGTGTTTTTTAGAAGTGTTGCTCATATTTGGACATGCATTAGAAAGAGAATGGATGAGGCATATGAGATTCTAACCTTTTAAGATGATGGGGAAGCGGATTGTGAGTTTTTTGAAAATGTTGTTCATACTTGGACATGTACAGATAGACTTTAAAAACACTTTATCATGTCACAATGATATATTTATACCGGATCAGCCTGGAATTTGTGAGGATAAAGAAAAATCATGATTTTTATAATGTTTAATAAATAGCTTTTTTGTGGAGATTTCTTAATGGCCAATTGCTTATGTTAAATAATGGCTGTAATTTTTAGGAGTTTTGTCATGGTTTCTTATGTAAAATTTGATCAAAGGTGAATGTTCATTTTTCCTTTTGAACTTAAGGGTGTTTTGGTGGATGGATTTGGCATTGTCCTATCAAAGCATATCACTTATCACTAACATGAAGTTAGTAAATCTGATAAATTTCCATATTTTTGCTAGTATATTATTCATTCTTTCATATATTAAATGCATCCTGATAAATTTTATGTGCTTGATTGGCAATTCAGTGTGATAATGGGCATATAGCTTGCTCTACCTGTTGCATCAAAATTAGCAATAAATGCCCATCCTGTTCTAGTCCTATTGGCTATAGTCGCTGCAGGGCCTTTGAGAAGGTTCTGGAATCAGTCAAAGTGTCATGCCAAAACACAAAGTATGGATGCAGAGAAACATTCAGTTATAGTATGAAACAGAAACATGAGAAGACATGTCCTTTTGCATCATGTTCATGCCCCCTTGCTGATTGCAATTTTGAGGGTTCATCAAAGCAGCTATGTGAACACTTCAGTACTGAACACAAGTATTCTCCAACATGTTTCAAGTACACTCACGTTGTATCAATTACCTTAGGAGTTGATGAAAAGTTCCTTATTCTTCAAGAGGTGATTGACGGTTCTTTATATATTCTCAACAATAAGGTTGAAACTTTGGGGAATGTAGTCACTTTGAGTCGGATTGGACCCTCAATAGAGAATGGTTTGTTCTATGAACTAATTGCAAAAGCTGAGGCTGAGGGAAGTACCCTTAGATTTCAATCCTTCACAAAGAGCACACTAAAACGGGTTGATAACCCACCTTCAATAGGGTTTCTCCTGGTTCCCAGTCAGTTCTCTTGCATTTCCAGGCAGCTCAAGATGGACCTCCTCTTGTGGCATCATCGTCATTTTCCTTACAACATCCAGAGACCAAGTGGTACGTTACTCTTGTAAATCTTGGTGCATAAACTATCCACTGAAAATAGCATTAGACATAGGCTATCGAAGAAGAGTTCATCTTGTCTTGAAAGTGATTCCTCGGTTCAGGACTTTCTGGTTCATTCCTAGCAGGGAAGAGTTTATATCCTGCAGAGTGTGAGAAATATTGAGAGGAATGGAAACTTGGCAAGTTGGATTGTAAGTGCCAATTCACTGTTTCTTATATGTTACTTGCAATTCTGTTATTCATGTTTTTACATAGGAATATCATGTATCTATTTAAAAGTTTATTTTTCAGCAATGGCATTTTACCGTCTCGATTATAAAAAACTAAGTTAAAAGTTCTTAAAAGTCGTGTAATTATTCAAGAATGTTATTTAATTTTTATTTTTTTAATATAAAACATATTAGGTAAGGACAACCAGTATAGCAGTAGAAAAGAAAATTTTTCTCCAATTAAAATTAGACTTTCGGAATGTTGAAAGTTTGGGGAAGACTGAAAAAAAATTAAGAAATTACTTAAGAGAATATTACCATGGTGGTTGCAGATCAGCACATAATCCCTGAATGGTAACATTCCATAACAAAACTTTTATCAGATTGAATAAATGAATGTTACTGAACATTTTGTGTGTTTTAGTTTTGAATGAATTGCAGTTCAATGACATACTGACAGTGATCTTCATGCTCATACAATAGTTGCTGCATTGGTTGTTTCTTTCTTTGATTTTACATTTTGAGCGAAAATGATGAAACGATATAAGATGGTGGCTTGAAGTGGTGGGAGAAATTTAGCTTATATTAATTAGATGTTAGGAATGATGAATTCTATGCACTACCCTGCAACCTTAGCCAATTTTTTTTTCGGCTCTTTTAAATTTAACATCTCCATCTATTAACCTCTACAAGAAGAACTTGAGCTGTTGCCAACAATTGTGATATGTTGATAGAGTATTGAAACTTTAGTTATAATAATTAAAATTTAAATTCTGATAATGTCAAATATATATATTTTTAAAATTAGAGCTGTTTTTTTTTTTACCAACAATGATTCATTTTCCCACATTCAAAACGTGAGCTTCAAAAATTATCAAACGGAATAACAAATTCAAGTCCAAAAGAATAATAAGATGCAACAGTGAGTATGATCTTACTTGCCAGCATAGCCATACTAGAACTTTGTGATGTTTACAGTTTAAAAATGGCGAAGGCATTGCTTCAAGTTTGTAACACTCCTAGTCTAACATGGAGGTTCTAAGTTAAAATTTCTATTCTCCATCCTTGACTATCAAAAAATTATATAGAAACCTTTGATTAAGATGAAATCAATGAGACGGAGAAAATAATAAAAGGAGAAATGAAAATTTACTGTTTGATGATAAGAGAATTTCCATGTATTGGCAGTAACTCTTTCAAGAAATAAGACCTATGAACTTGCCAGTAAAATATACTCTTGTATTTGAGTGACAATTATATTATATTAATTTACTTAAAAAAATTTTACTCAAATCATTAAGGAAAAAGATTTGGATAACACAGTGAGAAATTATTTTTAAAGTTTCCATAGTAAAATGTAGATCCGATCATTTTTTATTTTTATATCGTGTTTATTTTATATTAAATACGTATAAAATATAAAAATTATTATATATAATTTATGTGATAGTTATATAAAAAATATAGTTGTTTGGTTTTTGTTAAATTTATATATAATTTTTATCAAAATTTTAAATTATATCATTTTAATATTTTAATATTATTTTTATATAATATCATGTGTAAATTTATGATTTCTAGTAAAAAGTAAAATATATTTTGGAATGCTCTTAAAGCCCAATCTTCTTCTTTTCCTATCCACGGCCCATGCAAATTGTTGCAGATGGACAAACGCAAACGCGAAATGAAACTGAAAGACAGCAGCAGAATACATAGCACAAAAGAAAGAAAAAAAGTCCCAAAATACAATTGAGCCGTTAAAGAAGCAGAGGAAAAGAAACAAAGAGAAAGAAGAATGTATTCACCCTCATTGCTACGTCGTTTCTTCTGCTTCAATTCAGCATCATCGTCATCAGTAACTACTTTTTCTTCGACTAATTCCAAGAAAATGTCACTTGTCTTCTTTGGTTCTCCTCAGGTACTTAAAACAACTTTGAAAAAAAAAAGAAAAAGAAGCCCATTTTCCCAATACTATATTTATACGCATAAATGTATTTCTCAGTGCTATTTTATATCTTTTTAAATAATGGGTTTTTTTTTTTTCTCAGGTCTCTGCAACAGTTCTTGATGCTCTCTTTAATGCCTCTGCTGCACCAAGTTCTTCTTTTGAGGTACTGAAGATAAAAAAGTTCGAAATTTTGATTGGAAGTTTTCAAGTTTGTATTGATCTTTCTTTTTTTTTTTTTTTTTAACAGTAATTTGGTCCTTTATAAGCTGTTTAATAATGGGTTATTGTTAGTTGTTGAAATAGGTTCTCCTCTGGAGATAATGTTCATTGATAACTAGCTAAAAAATCTGATTGATTTAGGCTTTGCAGCTGTCCAGTTGTTTTCTATTTAAAGAAATGGTTTAATTACTAGAGAAATCGATTTGAAAAGTGGGAGTCAACTTATCAGTTGGTATCCCCAATTTTTAGGATTTTCCGGGCAATGGATTCTGATATCCAATTTGTTAAAACCCAAATTGTGTGTGAAGTGAAACTTTAATGGTATTTTGGCATTGTACCTTGAATCAGTCACCATATGCCTTGTTAGGCTGAGGAAAGAGACCAGCGTGTGCTATTTGCGATATATTTTTATAGTTTTGGTTATAGTCATTGCTAATTTAGTAATATTTAGGTTGCAGCCATTGTTACCCAGCCACCTTCTAGAAGAGACAGGGGCAGAAAGTTGATGCCTTCACCGGTGGCACAGCATGCTCTTGATAGAGGCTTTCCTTCTGAGCTAATCTTCACACCTGAACGTGCTGGAGAGGTAATTTTTCTTTCAGCATTCCAATTTAGTATAGTTTGGAAGAGTTAAGTCATTCATCGGTTCTTGTGGAAAATCTAAAACTGCATAATAGCTGTTTGTTTCAATTGGTCTAAAACTAATCTTCAAAACTGAGTCTAATTTTACTGCTAACTTGTTCAAATAATCTTGAAATTTTGGTCCAGTTAGAAATTGAGAAATCTTGTTTTAAAGTGATCCTTGTATGGAAGAAAGAAAAGAGATCATTTTATGGAAGAAAGAAAAGAGATCCTTTTATGGAAGAAAGGAAAGAGAATGGGGGGGTGGGGGTGAGAATCAGAAACCTATATGGTATAGTGCCTAATATGTTGTGTGTATGTGATCTAATTACTTTTCAATCTCAATATTTAGAAAGTTCTTGAATTGCTGAGTGGAGTGTTATGTGTTTATCTGTGTTAATTCAAGTCCGTATAAAAGTCTTGACTCCATAATGATATTTTTATATTTTCTATTTTATGTGAACATATATGTAAATATTTGGTTATTTTTTCTTTTTTAATTTATGGTTTGGGATGATGAAAGCCAGTTTTAATTAGTTATTCCTTGGTTGGTATGCATCAGTCTGGTGGAAGGAGAAGGCCTACTAATTTTCTTTCTTTCGTTTTTTTCCTTTCTGTAAGTGGACTTAGAAGAATTTCTCCTTTCTTTAATATGTTACCATATAAAAGCCATTAACTTTCCTAGCCTGATTCTAAGGGGTTATTTACATTAAAGGAATTCATGCTTTTCTACTTTATGCAGGAGACCTTCTTGTCCAGTTTAAGAGCTTTGCAGCCTGAACTTTGTATTACAGCAGCATATGGAAATATTTTACCGACCAAGTTTCTCAATATTCCATCATTAGGTTAGTCAATGGTATTTTTGTTAACAAATTTGGAGTTTTATTTATCTTCTGCTTATTTGCCATGTCTACACTTTATGCCTATCTAATGTTAGTTCTCAAGTCGACAAACCCAGCAACCAAATTTCTTTTGAATGAATAATAGAAATGTGATCTTTACTGATTCAGCTTTCCATCAAGTGCTGGAGTGCTGGTTTCTGTCTGAAAGATGATTGCTTGTTTTCTTGACTTGAGCTTGTGAAGCATCTGCCACTTGGCAGAGTTCTTGGTCATTGTACTTGCTATCTTAGATATATCAACTATATGTGCGGTTAGATTGTTAAATAGCTAAGGATTAATACCCTTAAGGTATTTCAAATCTATTTATTTTTTTTATTTTTTGATCCTTAATGCATTTCAAATCTTGAAGCAACATAACTATAGGTGAAAACTACAATGTTTTAAGAATTTTTGTGTAGTGTATTTATTATGGGATTCCTCATGTTACAATGAATTATGTGCATAAAATCAAATTAGTGCTTCAGATTGTGCATAATTACCCTTTAGGAGAAATAGAATGGATAATTTGTACATTTGCAAAATTTCAACATTGGGTATTAAGAACAATGGTTTCTTATTAAGGATAAAGGATAAATTATCTTAGTTGAAAAGTCTCAAAGTATGCGTCTATCTTCTCAGGCACGGTCAATATACACCCAAGTCTGCTGCCATTTTACCGTGGTGCTGCTCCTGTTCAAAGAGCACTTCAGGTTCTCCTCTATATAGATTTTGTTGTAATTATCAGAATGCTTTTATCATTCTTCCATGATGTACAATCACTTGGTCTCTTCATTAGGATGGTGTTAAAGAGACGGGAGTCTCATTAGCATTTACTGTACGTGACTTAGATGCTGGACCTGTCATTGCTCGTGAAAGACTGGAAGTTGATGACCAAATTAAGGTAAGGATATTTATTTCCCAAAGTTATTCCTGAATTAGTAATGGCTGATAGAATCTATGATTAAATGGTTTGGTTAACCAATACTTACCTTGTGAGTCCAAAAGATGTCAAATTGCCCTTGAACAAGTATTGAGAACAATATGCACAGTCAAGTTTTACAGTGATAGATGGACTTTTCTTTCATCCATAAACTTTACATCATACCTTCAATATATGTTGATTATTATTATATAACCTTTTCTTGCCTCTTCCATTATTTCAATTTTATCTTACAAAATTGATTTTCTGCATGCTGCACTATCTATAATCTATAACCTCATAAATTAATTAAATTGATGAATGATTATATGATTTACTTGCAGGCTTCAGATCTGCTAGCATTACTATTTTGTAAAGGTGCTCCTATTATCTTCTTGATATTTCTCATATTTTATTATCATTCATACTTTAAACCTTCTTGCATTTTATCTACTATTCCTTAAAAGACTTGCATGAAACTTATTGGTTGTTAATATTGCCTGTCTTTTGCTGCACATTACTTGGTTAATACTTACTATATCTTAAAGTAATTGTGTTTCATTCATGTATGCTGCAGATATGAATGTACAATATCAGACTGTTACTTGGTGAAGAAATTCATCAGTATCATCAAGATTTATCAATCAGACTAACCCTGCCATCTATTTTTATTTTTAAAAGAACTCATGCATTTCCTTTGACTGCTCTGCTATATATTTTTCCATATAATTTGTGTACTGTTGTGGCATAGACTGCTTTCATTTGCCATACTGGTCTCCTCTTGTGGGCATATAGTAGTCTTAGGAGTGAGTTTATGAAGCCTAAATAATAAAACTATAAGACCTGCTTTGTCCTGCATAAGCTCTATACTTAGTGTATAACATCATTTCCTGCTTGGTTTATGTGGATTTATGTTTTGCAATCATACAAGTTAATCAAAAATATGATTTAGTTCTGTTATCTTTACCATTTTTTTATATTTAATTTCCTCTTTGGGTGATTTATGTCATCTTAATTTATGCAGGGTCTAAACTTCTTATAAACAAACTTCCTTCCATATTTGATGGATCAGCTAAGGTGAATGCAGAACCTCAAGATGATTCTAAAGCTACCTTGGCTCCAAAGGCAAGGCTTCCATTTTTTTTATTTATTTATCTGTTTTTCTACGTATCGTTCACAGGAATTATTTGAATCCTTTTGCCTCATTGGTGCTTATATGTTAAATATCCACATAAATACTCACTAATGGCATGTATAGTTTCTGTAGGTTTATAAATGTTGGTATGCTTCCCAAATATTTAAAATTCATATTAATGTCTTATATTTGGTACATTAAATACTATTTGTCACATTCTTTGTTTGTATAGTCAGTATTTTCATGTAAAAAAGAAACTTTGAATCTCTTCTGCCTCTTTCTGATGTTTAGTGGAAATGCTTACCCTTTTATCGGCTGGTGAAATGTTTACTTTTTAATAAGATGGCCTAATTTAGGGCTGAACTCAGAGTCAATTGAAAAGCGCTGGCAGAACTGATATATTGCTTGCTCTTTTGAACTTTGAATTTTAAATTATAGAACTTTGCAACATGCAACTGTAAGGATTTTTATAGCATTTAAAATGGATCTCTTTCTTTGTTATGAATCTAGTGACAGGACTAGTAGCATCGCTTTCAATGAAAGAACTCTTGGTTTAAAATTGTTTCAAAATGTGCTTCTCATGTTCCTCCGTAGAAGTTACTGCATTGAGTACATGCACCACAATTCTGATATCATTGTTCTCTCTGCTAGAAACTGCACTTTTTTCATGGATTTTTTACATATTAGTCATGCATGGATATGCATCTTCTCTTGTTTCACATTCATGTTTGTTGCTTGGTAGATGAGCTGAATATTTTAATACCAGATAATGCCTACAGTGTGCATGATCAGGCCTAAGGTTTGCTATGTTAAAGTTCAACTGGTTTTGCTTGTTTCCTGGTTCACATGCGAACAATAAAATTTAGTTGTATGTATAAGCAAGGTGAAATGATATGTTCAGATCATGTATTTGGTGGCTCTATCAGTGACCTTTAATGAGTACATAATGTTGTTTAAATTTAACCTTTTTCTAATTTAAGCAGATAACTCCTGAAGAATCATGGCTATCCTTTGATGAAGAAGCTTTAGTCCTACATAATAAGGTTAGTTTCTCTTCCATTTTCTTTAAATCTGACTATGCAGTCATGACATGCAACTTCTTTAGGTTCGTGCATTTGCAGGCTGGCCAGGAACCCGAGCTAAAGTGTTAGTTGTTGATGACAAAAGTAGCAACCATAATGTCCTGGAACTTAAAATCATCACCACAATAGTACGGCCTGATTATAAAATTCAGGGCAATGATGTAAATGACATTACTTTTGTCAAGGGTGCATTGTTATTTCCATGTGGAGGATGTACAGCTCTTGAGGTGCGTGAAAATTCATTGTTTCTGGTTTTCCAATGAATGCTTAAAGTGGAAAATTGTGCAATAACCATTGGGGACATCCAATTCTCCTCTGTTTTATTTACCAGGAAACCTTTATTCTTTATATTAAAGCTGTTAATGATAAATTGGCCGAATCTAATTTTCTAATCTCCAATTCCTACAACCAAAGGCTCTTCCTTAGTTTTTTGGTTTCTCTGGTTTGCTGGTCCTGAAGCAGGTATTGGAGGTTCAACTTCCTGGTAAGAAGGTGATAACTGCGACTGCCTTTTGGAATGGTTTACGTGGTCAAAGGCTGAAGACACTATAACAGAGGACGCATTTTACATTTGACTGGCAGTGTAGAATTTCCGTTGAGATTTGGATTGAAAAACTTCTAATACTTGTCCCTGTTATCGTTTGTGATACATTCACGTTTTTATGCAATGTCATATTAACCCTCATTGCGTTTGAATGGACCATGTGCAACTTGGAAGCGTTAACCTCCAAATTCTATTTCATAGTTGTGCATCCCATCAACGTGATCAGCACAAAGAGCAAAAAATGGTATGTGGTCTCATTTTTTTCAAAAAAAGTTTTGTTGTCATTTGATTCATACATAAAATGTTTCTTTTAAGCAAATTCAAAATCTAGTCTTTCATTGAAGTGATTTTTTGGTTATGTGCTGTGACTATTAATTGAGGAACAAGTAGTCAAGTACCTAAGCTTCGTGCATAATTTCATACTTATCAAAGATCAAAAAGAGCATCTTAGATGATATTTCTGTAACTCCCATGATAATGACTGGAAATTAATTGCTTGGGATTTTATTTGGCATGCTCCTCTGTCAGAATGACCTTTTTTTGATACAAAGGAGATGGCAGATTGGAAATAGGGGAAGGGGTTACAGGTGTTGGGATTTGAATCCTATATCTATTGAATGCCACCTCCTAAAAGTGGCCAAATGAACCACCTAAGCTCAGTGTACATCATAAAGGATTTGATCTTTCTAGGGCATGATACTATTTGACAGAGAAAAAGGTTCCTTAACAGTGTATCTGTTGTTCAGTAGTTCATTCTAGCAGGCAGGCAGCTAATTGTGTTTCTGAAGATGCCATATTATCTTCATCTTGATTTCCAGTTATTTATATCTAATTAAGAGATAGGTTTAATCATGGTTAGAAGCTTGTGAGACTTGATTGAAAGGAATGTTGTTAATACTCCACATAAAGGCTACTGTAGAATGTTGTATCTGACAGCTCTAATGTTCTGTTTTGCAGAGTATCCGCACACCTTGTCTCTGTCATCCGGGCTAAGCTGTCCAAAATTTAAGATGGTAAAACGATCTTAGTTTTGTCCAGGTTTGTATTGTCCAATTTTATAGCTTTTGCTTAATTTATACTCCGGGATATTCCCACATGATATTGGCAATAAGCTGTGATTGTTAACTCTTTTAAGAGTATATAAAAGGAACTGGAAAGCAATTCTTTCTAGTAACCATGAAATATAGGTTTCAAACTGATGATTCACACTTGCTTGTAAATTTCAAACATGACATGCAGCAAAACTAAGCTTCCTGCGAATTCATTTAGCCTTGGCCAACAGCATGATAATCATTTTCACTATTTCATTTTCAAACAGGATCAGGATCTGGGCATCTTTTTTATCTTGATTCTTGACCTAAGGTTTAAGGTTTAGGAACCTATGAACTTCTGTTATCAATTCCACGATAATCTTGTGGTTGCTGTATGTCATATTGCTTTTTTAATTGTCTTGCATATTGCATTAAGTTTTACGTCTCGGTTTAATCTTTTTCAACTTATTCCACAGAACAAATGTTACTGAGTGTCTTTGATAATATGAATGAACAATCTTCATTTAGAAAATTGAATCTTCTGGTTGGCTCTCTTAGCAATTATAAGAGAAAATAAGAAAATATACGTCTTTTGAACGATCAAGTCAATTGATTTCTTTGTTGTTGCCTGTTCAAGTTATATGATTTCCTTTCGAACATGAAATGTCTTATTTGGATAGAGGAATGGGGAATTCAAACATAGATGGTTGAAGGGTATTATTAGTTGGATATGTCTTATTTGTGTCATTGTATACGATTTGTTCCAAGAGAATACCCCAATGATTAGAACTTAGAGACATCAGCGTTTTGATCTTGTATACGAATCTTGAGGAGAGTAGTGTTAATGGGATGGAAAGGGGAAGGAAAGTCAGTGGAAAGAAAATAGTGCATCTTTCCTTTTTTTTTTTTTCCTTTTTCTTTATTTGTTAAGAAGGAATAAAGAGGGAAGGAAGAAAATGAAACGATGTGCACTTTTTTTCTTTCAAATTGAAAGGAATTTGGATGGAAAAGGCATTTCTACTTAAATTAAACATTTAATTTATAATTTTATCTTTTATATCTTTTTTTCTTTTTCTTTTTCATTTTTCTATATGAACACAAACGCAGAAAGAACTTTTTTTTTCCTCTTTAATTTTTTTATACAAAAAGAGATAGTAATCTAAAAATTAAAAAAAAAAAAGAAATTATAAGTTTTGAATTTAAATTTTAAATTTATTAAATATCATTTTTAAAAATAATTATATAAATTAAATAAATTAAGTTTCGGAATAATTTTCTTTCCCTAGCTTTTCTCGATTCCTTTGTTTTGGTTCTTTCCTAAGACATGGCGGAAAGTGTAAATCTGCATCTCAGCCAAATTAAAGCATGTGCATAAAGTTGATGCTTTACCAAAATTGCGATGAAGATATGAAAGCTAAGGCATATGCAAATATATACAGTACTGATCACCAGATGGTAATCTTGTTCTAGGTCTAAGGCCACATTAAAATGCTCATTTCTCATTAGAAAAAAAAGGTCCATTTCACTTCATGGTGAAGAAAGAGAGTTTGAATATAAGGCTGTATTCAATGATTCTCTCACTGTTCAAGTTAAGCTGCGGGCATCTAAGAAAGTGCTACTTTTTCACCTTTTTCACCCAACAAAAATGTTTTACGCCTACTCGTGTAGCTAACTTATTTGTTCTTTTCGAATTTTGACTAGTACAAACATGTTTGGAATTTTGCTTACAGCTCCACTTGCACGCATTTGAGTACTGCTGACTTCGTTTAATTGGCATTTTTGTTTTTTTTTTTTATTTGTACATTATTTTTAGTTATTATTATTAAAAAATAAAAAAATCAATTAAACGGAACCATAATAAAAATTAGGGTAAACTCTAAGATTTTTTTGGTTTCAACTTTTTTCATATAGTATTTTTTGTTTTCTATTATTTTTTTCTATTAGTATCTCAGGGGAATATTTGATTTGTAAAATCTTAAATTTTGTGAAAGAAAGTAATTTAAAGAGAAAAGTGATTTTGAAAGGGGATGTATCATTCTTGGATTTTATTAACTTAAGAAACATAAGATTTTTGTGTCTAGTTCACGAAAATATAAAATTACCTAATAAAAATTCTTGTATTATATTATATTTAATAACACGTAAATAATATGTGACATTCGTAACACTAATATGTGAAGAACACGTTATTGTCTTATATAGAGAAACATGTTGATCGACCTTCGTGGTAAGGTCGATGTTGGAGTTGAAAGGGTTGGTAAACTCTTTTCCCGAGAGGTTTTTGGAGGTGTAACTCTAGAACAAATTTTGTGTAATAATATTAAGTAAATATATTTTAAATTTTATATGTAATAATATGAAATAAATATATTTTACTTTTTATTTTTTTATTTTTTTTTAACAAAAACTACGTTTTTTATCTTAAAAAAATCGTTCTTTGAACAAAGGTTGCATTTTCTATTTTGGAAATGTCTTATTTCAACAAAGGTTGTGTTTTTTATCTTAAAAATGTCATTTTTTTATTTTGAAATTTTTTTTTTTATGTTTTCAACAAAACTTGTGTTTTTATCTTAGAAACGTTATTAAATTTTGCATATTCTTAAATCCCAAATATAAAGTCAAGATCACTTTCCTTCTAATCAGTTTCTTTCCCTTAATTATTATGGTTTATCAATTACTACGCTTTCATATTAAGAAATGTTGTTGATATTGCAAATATAAAGTTTGTTTTATTATTATTTTTACGATCAACTATATTTTATATGTTAAAAAAGTAGTGATTATTGAAGGCAAAAATAGAATAAATTTTACATTCCATTTGAAATATTAAAAAACCTTCTAAAGAAGTAGGTTTTTTTAACTTAAAAAATGTAAGATTTTTATGTTTGGTTTACATGAATACAAGATTACTTTATAAAATTTTTTATCATATTGTCATTGATAACATATAAATAATATGTGATATTTATAATATTGATATATTAATAACACGTTATTGTCCTTATGCCAAAAAAAAAAACATGTGGATTGACCTTTGTTATAAGGTTGACATGGGAATGGGAAGGGGGTGGTAAACTTTCCTCCCGACAGTTTTTAGGGGTGGAGCCTCCATAACAAATTTTAAGTATAATAATATTAAGTAAATATATTTTAGATTTTATGTATAATAATATGAAATAAAGATATTTTATGTTTTATTTTTCATATTTTTAACAAAAATTACGTTTCTATCTTATAAACATTGTCTTTTCAACAAAGATTGTATTTTTTATCTTAGAAATGTTATCTTTCCAACAAAAGATTGTGTTTTCTATCTTAAAAATGTTGTTTTGTTGAATTCTGAAAAAAAAATATATTTTTTATGTTTTCAATAAAAACTGAGTTTTTATCTTATAAATGTCATTAAATTCTATAGATTCTTAAATTTCAAATATAAAATCAAGATAATTTTTCTCCTAAATCATTTTTTCTCCCTCAATTACTTAGTTTTATTAATTATTACGTTTCCATATTAAAAAATGTTGTTGATATTAAAAATATAAAATTTATTTTGTTGTTATTTTCTATGATTAACTATATTTCATATGTTAAAAACGTAGTACTTATTAAGGCAAAAGTAAAATAAATTTACATTCCGCTAAAAATCTTAAAAAATCTCAAGGAAATATGGGTTTTTGATTCAATGTTATCACTTCTTTTTTGATATTTTTTGGAATGTTAGAAAATCTTAGAAATTAAATTTCATGAATCAAATTAAAAAAATTAAATTATGAAAAACAAGATTTTAGCCGATAATCTAATTTTTTTCTAAACCAAATGCCTCCTTATAGATAAGTTTATTATCGTAAAGTCACGTGATAAAATTATAAAAATATTCCACGTGCGAACAAGTGAGTACTATATGAATATTTGATAATTTTATTGAGTGAAATTAAGGTTTAACTACTTGGAACATTATTTAATCGTATGTGCTAGTTAAAAAAAATCATAATGTATTATGTGAAAAAAGTCAAAATTATGAATTCAATATTTGATTCAATTAATTAGTTTATGTATTAATTTTTAAAAAAGTGATATTTAATATATTTAAAAATTAAATCTCAATACTTGTAATATATTTTTCTATTCTCAAATCATAGTCTTTTTTATTAAAAAAAAAAAAAAAAAAACCCACGAGGGACGTGGAAAAATTTATCATGTAAGCTAGTAGCTAAGAAAAGATTGGTTCAATTTGTAAACTATACCAAAGGAAGCCTAAGTAATCTTAAATTTGAGGCTTATTAGTAGTTTCTTCTCGCCGTTAATCTTGAATGCCCAAAACTTTTGCAGCTACAATTAAATTATATCGATAAATTTATGAATATAATCCAATCAAATTATATCATAAGTTTTTGTACTTTGTTAATTTTTAAAATTTAATTATTATAATATAATTTATATAAATTTAATTTTTATACTATTTTAATTTAATAGCTTTAATCAAATCATTAATTTTATTTAATTTTTTTATTAAATAAATTGATGTAATATTTGATCAATTTATATATTTGTTAATTAAAATGATGTGACATTTTAATTGAATTAGAGTTGAAGGGATACTGATGTAGATTAGATGGCATGCCATGAGACATGTTTTTAATCATATCCTTAAAAAACTTAATAATTAATCTTAATTGTCTTAAAGTAATAACTTAAAAAATTAATCTAAAACCCCAAAAAAAAAAAAAAAAAGGAAGCAGAAAACAATTGAAACTCCAAAAATCAAACCATCAAATCTCAAATCCTTTCTACTGATCATAAACGCAAGTAAAAAATCCCTTTTGGCTAAACATAAAAGATCAAAAGAACACTAATTCTAAAACCCTTGTATGACTTGGACTTGAAAGTCAAAACTTTGGAGACTACGGAGTGAAGAAATAGAAGAAGCTACAGGACCAAAGAACTCGCTATCAGAAAGATCAAGAGTGGTGAGTTAGGTTAGTTGGGAAATGAGTGCATTAAGTTGGCTGGAATAACCAACTGGATCAAGAGTGATTTGGGTGAGTGGTGACTTGGGTATTACGAGTCAGGCGAACGAATAATACCGCAGGTGAAGTGGGTACTACGAGGGATGGCGCAAGTCGTAGGTAGAGAAATCCCATGAAGTGAGACAGGACCACGACGAGATTGAGCTTGGCTTGATAGAAGCCGTGAAGGCTTTGAGAGCTGAAATATCTTGCTGTGAAAATGAGGCCAGACCAAGAGAAAAATATAGAGAAAGAAAATAGAGCATATTAAACATGGAGATAGGATTTTGCTTTTTCTTTTGGGTATGATTTTTTTTTTTTTGACCTGGAGTTTCGATTTGAGTTAATTATTTTCGATTTGGGTAAATAATATTTGATTTGGATTTATAATTAGTAGACAGGAGAAGTTTCAATCTTTTTTTTCTTTCAAAACTTTTTCATTTTAGATTAATTTTTTAAATTATTAATTTAAAGTAATTAAAATTAATTATTAAGTTTTTTTTTAAATTAAAATTAAAAGGTATAATGGATTAAATGATATATCACGTGACATATTGTTTAATCCATTAATCATTTTTTGAAATCTAACTCAATCAAAATATTTCGTCGTTATTTTAGTCAACAGATATATAAATTGTTCCAAAAACTTGTTAATATATTTAACGGAAAAATTATACAGAGTGAATAATTTAATTAATAATTTTAAATAAAAAAATAAAAAAATTAAATTTTTATAAATTATAATATAAAAATTGACAGAGTAAAAAACTTCTATCACAATTTGACCGAATATTCCTTTTGATTGAAACTTTCTCTGGAGTGTATTTGTTACTTGTCCAACGAAGACAATGATGAATGACAATTTCTCCCCGATCATAACTGCCCTGGAATAAAACCCCAAAACAGAAATGGAATAATTGCTTTGTGAAAGAAATTTCAAGGAAATACGGATAGAATCAACCAATAGAAGCCATTATTGTTACGATTTTAGTCCTGAATAAGGAAAGGCAGAATTTAAAATTTAATTTGATTAATTTATATAATTATTTTTAAAAAATAATATTTAATAATTTTAGAGCTTAAATTTTATTATTTATTTTTTTTAATCCAAACATATTTAAAAAAAAAATAGCAAAAGTAGAAGAAAAAAAATACTTTAAAATATTTTCCCATCGGCTCACTCGAATAAACATTTAAGCATTGCCAAAAGCAATGTTGCCCACCCTCACGATTTTTCGTACTTTTTGTGTCTATTTGCTTTTTTATGCTAACTAGCATTATTTTCTAGACCCTACCGTTTCAAACTTCATAAATCCAAAAAGCAAAAGCAATTGTTTATCTAGTAGTAATTGTCACGAGCCAAGACTCAATCTCTAAGCTCGTGTGACTCCAGAATTCGAATATGTATTTATCTGATATTTCAAATAAATTTACTTATCACGATTTTATATCATTGTGAAATATTATTTATTATTGCCCTTCTGACATCATGATTTTATTCTACAAAAAATACCTCACAAAGAGAAGAATATTTAAATCCTTATATCTCAATACTAGTTCTAGTACACAGTTGATGTATGATTCTTAGCCTTACTCCAGGACCGTGACAAATAATATTAAAGTCAGCTCTAGAGGTACAAATGATGCGGCATCGAAGATGGTGGGCTTCTGTTGGAATGGAGAAGGATGTCACGATCCTAGAATAAAGTCAAGAATCCTACATTGACTGTGTACTAGAATTGATCTTGGTATATAAAGGTTTACAATTTTCTTCCTTATAAGATATCTTTTGTGAGATAAAATTGTAAGGTCAGAGAGATCAAAACGAACAATATCTTACAATAATGTGAATCATGACAAGTAAATTAATTTATGACATTGAATGTATGCATACTGAAATCTTAGAGCATCACGGACCTAGAAGTTGAGTCTTAACCCGTGACACAATTATGTACTTAATTACTTTTACATCTCAAACTTTTTTCCACTCATTTTCCTGATAGACAAAATTGAAAATTTTGTGTCACTTGAGATTGAATTTAGCTCAAATAATAAGAGTGCAATAAAAATTCAATAAAAAAATTTATTTGAGTTAATGCTTATAATTTATAATAAGGCGCTTCCAACTATTAAAATTTAAGACTTTAATATTTGAAGATTTAGAACTTGAATCTTAAAGTCCCATTTGAGTTCAAATGTAGCACGGTTGAGATCACTTTTGGTCCCAACCATATTGGGCATTTCATTTGTGTGCCAATTGTTTCACATCACTTTTACCCACAGAAGGTGAAATCTTCTAGTGGATAATTGGTCTCATTTTACGTATTAGACAATCAACTATCTTTCATTGGACAATCGGCTACTCTCCTGAAAAATGAAGCACACAATAATAAAAAAATGTTGTGGCATTCGGTTGTCTTCTACTAGACATTTGATATATAAAAATGATTTTAATAAATTTTAATAAATTATTTATTTTAAAAAATTAAAAATATAATATAAATTTCATTATATGCAAAATTTAATATAATATCCTTAATAATTAATTTTTCTTTTAATTATGTTTTACTTTAACATTATAATTATATTTATATCTAAACACATATTTTATTATTAATTTTATTTTTATTATTATATAAATAATTTCATCATCATCGTCGAATTCAATATTAACAAAATCAATCTCACCATTGATTATAAGTATATTACCAAAATAAAAAAGACCCTTAAATGAATGAGATGATATATATTAGAGGAGAGGCGGGATTGTAAGTATCTACAACTTCCTTTATATTAAATTTAAAAATGTAACGATTCCCTTTATTTATAAATACCAAGTCTCATAGTCCTATTATCATATGTACATTCCTTTCCTTTTCTTTTTCTCTCTGTTCTGTTCTGTTCCGTTCCGTTCTGTCTATTGCTAGCTTTCTGCAAAAAGAAAGAACCAAACATGGGGGCTCTTGATTATATTTCAAACTTTTGCACTTTCACCAGCACAAGGAGGAAACGCAAACCAATGCAGGTAGATATTGAGTAACAAGCATAGAGACAGAAAAGAACTTTTCTCCTTTTACTTTCTCTATTCCCTTCTTTACTTTATGTTCTGTTTTTTGCAATGAACAACTAAAGAAAGAAATTACCTACACAACTCTTCTTTTCTAGTGATTCTGCATTTTTGGTCACCTTAATGCTAAAGATGATATGTGTTTTTATTTCTCAGACTGTTGAAATCAAGGTTAAAATGGACTGCGATGGCTGTGAAAGAAGAGTGAAACATGCTGTTACCTCCATGAAAGGTTCTATAATATGAAGCTCTCTCTCTCTCTCTCTCTCTCTCTATAATTTCATTAATGTTTTCTTCATTGAAGTTCAATCACAAACCAACCCTTTAAAGGATGAAATTTGCAAACATCAAATACCGGGAACAAATTAATGATGAATCTTTTGAGCTATACTAATAATTAAAGTCAAGCTTTTTATTTAATAAGATTTGAACTTCGAGACCTTCAAATTGAATTATACCGTTTGTGCTTATCCTTAAAGACAAGAAAGTAGCATCTTTAAAAAAGTATTTTATAAAACAATAGCTAATATAATTCCCAGAAAGACAGCTTTTAAAATGAAGTATAACTCAAGAATTTCTGCAATCATGGTTACTTGGAATGAAAGGGAAAAGTAAAGCAAAACTCCCCAAAAAAATTATTTTGAATGATTGGTTCCAGGTTTTTTGGTTTGACTTCAATTTATTCTAGACTTCAGAGCTATGCTCCATTGTCTTTTCTTTGCAGTTTTTTCCTTTTGGTAGAAAAAGAGTTCACATCTTGAGAAAAAAGGGAATGGATTCCGAGATCTGAACCCTAAACTTGCTGAATACCATTTTTCATTTAATGACGTGATTATATGATTCAATTGAATTAAACCCTGAATTTCATTTTTTTAAAAATATTTACTCAGTTCATTTTTTTAATCTACTAGTACTTACACAGAGTCAAATGAGATCGAATAATAATACATTAAAGTTCAATTAGTGATTAAATTTGAAGAATATTCTTATAACATCACTTTAACAAATCAATGTTTTAATGAAATTCTAAATATACGTATTCAAAATAGTTTGTGTTCTTACCATCTTCTAGTCTCCATGAACAGGAGTAAAAACTGTTGAAGTAAATCGAAAACAAAGCCGTGTAACGGTGAGCGGCTACGTTGATCCGAACAAGGTGCTAAAGAGAGTGATGAGCACCGGAAAGAGAGCAGAATTCTGGCCTTATATCCCTCAACATCTAGTTTATTATCCTTATGTTTCTGGTGCCTACGACAAAAGGGCACCCGCCGGCTTTGTTCGAAATGTTGTTCAAGCTTTTCCTGCTTCAAATGCACCAGAAGAGAATTTCGTATCTTTCTTCAGCGATGATAATGTTCATGCTTGTTCAATAATGTAAGGAGAATAATTTAATTTGCGAAATATATATTGTAATAGGGTGAAATAATACAGTTGATGATGAATTTTTGAACATTATATATGTACTATTTTATTCAACGATTTTTGTACGATATTTATGCTTTGCCAGTAGCTTGAATTAGGCTTCCACCACACCTCTATTACGATAGAATCCAAAGGGTGCTGGTATGGTAACGCCCCAACCGTGCGGTTGAGGGACAAAAACCTTCGAGCTTCCAACCGAAGGGGAAAGGGTCCAGTGAATCACTGGATTCTAAGGCAGTCGAATGCCTTAATGTAAAATTACAAAAAATAAGAGGATATGCAATTGTCATGGACTTAAGGAAAAGTCCTGAATCCCACATCGAATATAATAAGAGGGTCACTAGGGTATAAAAGGGTTCACACCATCTCAACTTGTGAGGTGCCTTTTGTAAGACAAAACTGTGAGACCAAAGGGGCCAGAGCGGACAATACCTCACAAGGGTGTGAACCATGACGGTTAGGCTGATCTGGGACGTCGGATGAGTGGATGCCCGGGTCCCGGAGCCGCGCGGGTTCGAAACTTAAGTCTCAACCCATGACAAGTGGTATCAGAGCCAGCCCTAAACCGTTCGATCCACTCTAAGCACTCGAGGGAGGTAGGCAAGGTGGTAAGCTTCCTTGACGAGAGCGTCACGAGGTTGGGTGGTGGAGAATGTCACGGACCTAAAGGAAGTCACCTCAAGGGAGGTAACCGTGATGATTAGGTTGATCTGAGAAGCCGGATGAGTGGATGCCCGGGTCCCAAAGTCGCGTAGGTTCGAAGCAGTCGCGTAGGTTCGAAGCTTAAGTCTCGATCCGTGACAAGTGGTATCAGAGCCAGCCCTAAATCATTCGATCCATACCAAGCACCTTAAGGAGGGCATCACGAGGTTGGATGGGGGAGAATGTCACGGACATAAAGAAAGTCACCTCAAGGGAGGTAACCGTGACGATTAGGTTGATCTGAGAAGTCGGATGAGTGGATGCCCGAGTCCCAAAGTCGCGTAGGTTCAAAGCTTAAGTCTCGATCCGTGACAAGTGATATCAGAGCCAGCCCTAAATCATTCGATCCATACCAAGCACCTTAAGGAAGGTAGGCAGGGTGGCCAGCCTCCGTGACAAGGGCGTCATGAGGTTGGGTGGGGGAGAATGTCACGGACGCCAAGCACCTCGAGGGAGGTAAGCAGGGTGGTTAGCTTCCTTGACGAGGGCGTCACGAGGTTGGGTGGGGGAGAATGTCACGGACCTAAAGGAAGCATCTCAAGGGAGGTAACCGTGACGATTAGGTTGATCTGAAAAGCCGGATGAGTGGATGCCTGGGTCCTGAAGTTGCGTAGGTTCGGAGCTTAAGTCTCGACCCGTGACAAGTGGTATCAGAGCCAGCCCTAAACCATTCGATCCATACCAAGCGCCTCAAGGGAGGTAGGCAGGGTGGCCAGCCTCCGTGACAAGGGCGTCACGAGATTAGGTGGGAGAGAATGTCACGGACCTAAGAAAGAGCCCTGAATCCCACATCCTATATAATAGGACAGTCACTGGGGTGTATAAGAGTTCACACCACCTCTGTTTTGTAAGGCGCCTTTTGTAGGATAAAATTATGAGGCCAAGGGGCCAGAGCGGACAATATCTCGCAAGGGTGTGAACCGTGATGGTTAGGCTGATCTGAGACGCCAAATGAGTGGATGTCCGGGTCCCGAAGCCGCGCGAGTTCGAAGCTTAGGTCTCAACCCGTGACACAATTATGGTAGTCGACTGACTTTGGTGAGATTGCATCAAAAAGTTTCATATGTATTCGAATACACATCCTTATAATTGATGTTAATTTCGTTGCTACAATATTTAATCTTATCACTACTGTGGAGACCCATATCCAATTTATGAAATATTTTTCACTTTAACTCAAAAATCTTATTATTTTATCTCATAAAAAGTGCCTTACAAAAATCTCTACGTATATATCGTAAACATCCTCACACTTAGCTAATGTGAGATTAAGGGCATTAAAATCTCCCATGTTAAAACTTAACATTTTTGTTAAGCCCAACATAAAATCACATCAAGCATTGAGATTCTAAAAGTAGCTTTTACCTTATAATACTTAATTCTCACTTATTAAGATTTTAGAGGTGACTTTTACAATGTAGCACGTAGATTTCCAAATTTAGATTGGTGATCGCTTTGATATCATTTGTAAAGGTCTACACATAATCTATGACATATTGTTTGTTTTGACTTGAAGGTTTCATGATTTTATCTCATAAAAAAATAACTTACAAATATGAATTTAAATCTCTATTTATATATCGTATAATATCCTTACACTTAGCTAATGTGAGATTATGAGTGTCAAAATTATAATATTTAATCTTACTGTCATTATTATTTTCAATCTCACTAAATTAATTTCAGCTTCTATCTAAATAGACGCTTAACCCTACATAAGACTTGGTCATGAGAAAGGGGTTGATAACTATATAAATAATTATTATGAGATTCAATAAACTTTATGCTTTAAAAATTGACCCTTGTATATTTCCGTTTTTAGCCTTTTTAAAAGGAAATTTAATAAGTATGAGATTCACCAATCAACCTAATTAGTTATTAGACTATAATTTGGATATTGTTCATTTTGGTATGTCGAATGTTTATGCTTTTCCCTTACGAGGTGCATGCAAACAAAAACACTAAGTTTAAATATTGAAAGATCCAATATTTGATTGGTGGGTTAATCATCAAATACTAAATTTTAGATTTAATGGTGAAAAAATGAGGTATTGATTCCAACTGAGAAATAAATTAGAAAATTGTTTAAAACTAATAAGAAGAATAAGAGAGAATAAGTTGTCAAAAGCATTAGAGAGACAAAGAAACTTGAGGAAGAAAGAAAAGGAGATAAGTCACAAAAAGTTGAAAAGAAACGTTTAATTTCAATGATTCAACCTAATATGTATTTTATTGAAATCAATGGTAAGATAAACGAGTAAAATTATTTACTTTTATTGTTATATTGATCTAAATGGATTTTTCCTAGTATTTTTTTTAAAATACAAAATTTATTAAGAGAAAAATGGCGATCTAAATAGAAAAGAATAAAAAGGTCATATTAAAATCAGAGTTAGAGTTTGCCCAACCTCATATGTTCTAAATTTCTTAAACATTTATAATTAAAAAAATAATTTTTTGATACAAATGAAATCACATTCTGAGAATACAGATGCAAGGTTTATAAAAGCTTATTTTTAACATATGTAAGCATGTGTAAGCATAGTTTAGGTCAAATTTTCATGTAAAAAAGTTGGTTTTTATCTTAAAATTAATAATAACTTCAAATATGGGAAAGGAAAATTTGTGTGACATCCTATATTAAAAGTTATTGATTTATACTTAAGAAATATTCAAAGCAAGGGACAGATTTTAATGATTGGAGAGTTTGGAGTTAGTGAAGCATAGGATTCTTGCTTCCCACCACAAACGGATGGAAATAAGGTAATGCATATGGTGGTGTTGGACTATTGTCCAACTATTTTTTGATTAGAGAAAATGTACAATACATTATGAATAAACATAGGTTCCTTTAATTTTCAAAAAATAATTATATATCTAAGTTCCTTTAACTTAAGTAATTTGATATGAATTATGTGAAAAATTCATCATTACTGTGAAAAATAACCATTTGAAATGAATTAAAATTATATAATATCAATAAATATTTGATTAATTTAGTGATTTAAATTCTGGACCCTTCATGTTACTCTTGGCTTTAAGTTCCTTCATATTACTCTTCGCTTTGCTTAAATATACCCAAAGAAAAAGTAAGAATGAAATCGTGAGTATGTTAGCTATAAAGTTCTAGTTACACCTTCATCACAAAGTTGAATATTCTGTTTGAGATTTCACATAATTAAAAAACACATAAAATTTTTTAAAATATGGGTTTGCATAATTTTCTCTGAAATTAGCCATTTTTTAGAAAGTTCTAAGCACAATAAAAATAACAATCACAATCAAAATATTATGTCCACAAAGATTAATTTAGTTGACAAGGAAAGGAGATTTCTTTCCTTGTCAACTTGAATTTGATTTTTGTGGAGTGTACCATGGGAGTTAAATCCATAATACACCAGACTAATGTGATGAAATGTGTCCTTAAAATTGTCAAAAAAAAAAAAGACAAAGCCTGATAATACTTTTAATCGTGAAACATCGAAGTATTATATCTATAACGAACAAATTAACACATAAATTAAAAAAGAAATAAAATATAAAATTGAATCAAACCCAATCTTAAATATTTTAGAAATTTCTTCTTATCATTAAAACAAGACTCATTGGCTTTAAAATTAGAGTTTTTTTGTTCAATCAAAATTACAGTTTTTCTCTTTTTTTTTTTTAATAAAAAAATTTACTTATATTTTGTATTTACAGTTATATCATTTTTTTCACTCAGATTTTGTACCAGCCAAAGAAAGTAACATCGTCATTCACATGTCTACCCCACATAAATTTCAGAATCCATACAAATGAATGATGATTTAAAGTGTATATTGAAAAGTAACAGGTAAAAAACTAGTAAGGAATCGGATCCAATATAATCATTTTAAGATTTAAATTTGAGAAGTTTGTGCTTTGAGATAAATGCACACAACTATCAGTTCTAAAATTTTAATAGGTGTATAAATAAATCCGTTCACTCCATTTTTTTGTTGAATACAATTTTTTTTTTTTCATTCTAAACGGAAAGTACAAAATTCTCTCATTTCATCGATCTTTCTCTAGCTTATTCGATTAGATAATACCTTCCTTGGTTTCATTTCTTAGCATTAACATCAATCTTTCTCTAACTTATTCCATTAGATAACCTTTCTTGGCTTCATTTCTCAGCATTAAGCAAATCATTGTCAAGTTTGCTTTGCTTACATGAAAAGCTAAATAATGAGATTCACCACCAGAAAGAAATTAAATAAACTATTATTTTTTAATTATAAATGTAATCTCAAGACAAAAAAGAATACAATTTTTTTGAAATTGGGATTTACTAGCATAAACTTATTCAACCCCGTGATTTATCCAAAATAAATCATATATACAAGAGATAATATTTAATATAGTAAAGCCCAAT